ATGAAAAAACACAAATACTAAGCAAAGTCGTTGCCACTATGCCAATGCTTATTAACACACACAGACAGACACACACACGCACACACACAGAGTATGCAGGCAGCGCAAGCACAGCCCACAAATCACAACAAGTTCGTTTCGCTCTTAGGTAGTCTGGGAAATTATAATTCCTAAATTTCCCATGTAGTTCTACTTTGGGGAGAATTAAGATACGAAAAACGTAAAACCATTTACCTGGTTTGGGAATTTTTTAACTATTAACTGTGCTCCAAATGAATCCCAAAAATCGAACAGAAAATTTTAGTACAACTCTGAAGTTTAACTCTACTTCATTAGCATCAAGCGTCATATTTTTCTTTTTAATTTTAGCTATAGATCTAAAACAGTTAATTAGCTAGGGAAATGCTAAAAAAAAAACCTAAAGTTGGGAGAAATTTTTTGTCCGCGTTAAGTGTTTTGTTTAAAGTTATAGCTATAGCATTGAGGCAGTTCCAAAACTAATCCTTCAGCTTACGGAAACTATGGTAAATCTTACCCAACTCTGCCAGCATCAAGTAAATGTTAAAACCACCCTAGTCTAAGGTGCTAAATTGTGGTCATTTCTGATTTAATTTAATTTGTATATATTCAATTGCTATTGAAGGAAATTTCACTAAAATCCACGTAAATGAGCGAAAAATGAGTGAAAACGAAAATGCTGATAATATAACCTGGTCCGGGCAAAGACTGAAATAATTAGCTGGCATTTAATATAAGTGCACACTTAACGTATAAATTACAGGCCATGCCCTAATGCCTCATCATAGAAATCGAAGATTTATTGGCGCGAGCCAAGAGTGCAAATGGTCAAGGACATTTTTGTCGCCTGCCAGTTGACTGCATGTTGTCAACGTGGCAAAGGCGAAGTATAAAAAAAAGAAGTTGCGCCTCACTGCTAGCTTCAACTAGATGTTGTTGCGTGTTGTTGTTGTTGTTATTGTTGTTGTTATTGTTGTTGTTGTTGTTGTTGTTGTTGTTGTTGTTGTTGTTGTTGTTGCTGTTGCTGCAGGATGACAACTGCTGCTGCTGCTGGGAAAATCCCAATTCGAGTCAAACAAAGCGCGCTAAAAAGTATGCAACGCACTTTGGCGCTCATCGCTAGACGCTTTTTGACTAACTGCCAAGCGGCACACACACACACACACACACATACAATTGCATGTGTGCGCGTGTTTTAAATGCCCGCCAGCACTCTGGCAAATATTACTCGCATGCTCTTTGCTTTTCGACAAAGCAGCGCATTTCTTCTTCTCTCTCTCTCTCTCTTTTTTTTGTAATACTTATTTTCAGTTTTTCTTCCTCTTTTTTGTTTGTTGTCTGTGTGTGTGTGTGTGTGCGTGTAATCCTTCAAAGGCATTGTCTGCCACACATTTACACACTTAATGGCATTTTGACACTGATAATGATGTTGTCATGTGCATCCGCAGCTAACATCAAGTTCAGAGGCCTCGCAGATCCCAGCTCGAAAGCACAATCGAGCATAAATATATGTATTTGTATATATCCAGCTGGCAGTTGGCAGCTTAGGCTACAAATTATTAGACCTCTGATGAGTACAACAATTACAGTGTACGCTCGACTGAACGGACAGCTGCTGACTGGGGCGTGCCATTGGATATGTGTGTATGCAACAGGCGGAAGAAGGCAGCTCCTACTCGGTCTGGAGTATATACATATATAATATATATATATATATTCTTGTTCGAGATGACAAGCTGCTTCGACTTAGCCAAGTCCGTCTGTCTGAACATTAAAGCTGAAGAATTCAAATTTGTAATATATTTAACCTTATATATAATATCTCCTGTAACAACTTCAGCATATCTCGAGTATTATAAGAGCTAAATACTAAAAACTTGTAGGTTTTCGGAAAATATATAGAGATTTATGTAGGTTTTCGTATAATATATACGGCTTAAGAATATTTATACCTCCTACATTACCCCATAAAATTTTACGAAGCCCATTTGTAGAACACATTTGTGGACTAAGACATTAAGCATTTGCATTTGCAGACATTTACATACCATATTTATAAAAAATTTAAATTTCATAAAGATCGGACTATAAGCACCGAAGCTTATTAAGAAATACCTTAGACCTGATGACAATTTGAGTTGGCTTGTATTTATCTAAAGTTGACAAACAATTATGGTATACAAGATTTTCAATAGTATATCCATTAAAGAATACAAAAAGTATACATACAAAAATGATTTAAAATAACAATAATTCAACAAAAAGTATCACTTTTCGAGCGACCACTGTACTAGCTTTTAGTTGTGTTCTACGTGTGGCTTCTTGTCCGAAAAAACTTTCCGCTCGCACATCGTAGTTTGCTGTTGCTGTGATATTTGTTTGCCTCTGTGACTGGAGGCAGTTGAAATTTTTTGGGCATTGGCAAATCTGTATTTATCGAATTGATTAAATTACGTTGCCTGCAGCAACACAGAACAAAAGTTAAGGCTATTCCCAAATGCTTAAACGCCAAAAAAAATAACAAAATAATTGAGGCAGTAAAATTGTTTGAACAAGCGTTAGAAAATAGTTGTCTATACTAACAATAGAATGGCTATGCAATTGGAATTTGGAGTTTTGCGGAACAACCCTTGAGTATTTTTTGACGTTAAGTATCTCCGAAATTGACTAGAAACTCTTAAGCCAATAAAGACAACATAGGGTAGCTATATTTTTATAAATATTTCTCTTTAGTAATAATAAAAAATTCATTTTTCTCAATTTGGAGTTTTGCGAAACTACCCTTGAGCTTTAATTGACATTGAGCGCCACGAAAGATGGGGACTTTCCCAAAAACTCCTTTGCCTATAAAAGCAACCTAAATCAGGCATATTAACAAAATGTTTATTCTTAATAATAAAGTAGGCAAACTTTTTTAAGCTTTAATTGACATTGAGCGCCAAAAAAGTTAAGACTTTTCCCAAAAACTATTTCGCCTACAAAGACAAAGTAAATCAGGCAAAAAAATGGTTAGACCAGCAAAACAAAATAGTTATTTTTAATAAATAGTAAATAAGTAATAAAAAAGGAGGAGCTTTTAAATTTGGAGTTCTGCGGAACAACCCTTGATCTTTTGTTAACTGCGAGCATTAGCAAAGCTAAGGTTGTTCCTAAAAACTATTTTGCCTTTTAAACCAAACCAAACGGAATATTGAACATTGAGCGTCACGAAACTTAAGGCTATTCTTAAAAACTGTCTTTCCTTCAAAGACAATCTATACCAGTCACATTTATAGAATGTTTCTCTTTAATAACAAAGTGGGCAAACTTTTCTTTTGCGAATTGGAGTATTGCGGAACAACCCCTGGGCTTAAATGAACATTGAGCGCCATTTGCAATTTAGAGAACTGCATTTAATCGAGGAGCAAAATACAAACCTACCTTATCATTGTTGTACCTGCCGCCGCTTCTGCCTCTGCCTCTGCCGCTGCCACCAACAACAACAACAACAACCTTAGCAGCAGCCGCCAGGGCAGCCGTTGCCGTTGCCGTCGCCGCTGCCGTTTGTCACCGCGCCCGCTGGCGGAATGTGAACTGCTTTAACTGTTTGATGGAGGTGGAGGGGACTGTGACGCTGTGCTCCGTCTCCGTCTCCGTTGCCGCCGCTGCCGGCGCCTTCGATTCCGCCGTGTTTGTTGTTGCCGCCGCCGGTGTTGCCAGATCCCGTTAGCCGCCCACGCTCAGGCTCCCCGCTAGCAGCGCTCCAAAGCCACACCTAACATATTTTCCTTCTGCTCCGGCAGGTATATGAACGGATGCTCGGAACTACGCGTTTTCCATGGCACTTTCACTGCGTCCTTTGTATCCGTTTTTGCCGGTTAACGTTTCACGCACTTTTCGCCTTTTTTTCTCGCCTTCCTTTCCGTTTTCTTTTTTTGGCGGCGTTTGCACTACTTTGATCCTTCGCTTATGTTGGGTTTCTGTGAGAATTTCGTTTAATTTATGGGACACACGAGTTCATGTGATTTGTGGAAACGCGTTGCGAGCGTCGTGTATGGCTGCACAGTATTGAATTTTTTCGCATTTACATTTTTAACGAAGGGGGTTGGGGTTGGGGTTGGTATCGATTTTTTTGCCCAAAACTGACAGCTGGATAGTCCGCACACCAGCCGACAGGGGGCGTCCATTTTGACAGTCATTTCGGGGGTTGAACCAGCAACAAAACAGCTGACCGTCTGTAGACTTACCGTTGCACATTTGAAAAATAACTCTACAGAGTTGCCACCTGGTTAATTGTTGGCATATACCATTGATATAAGTTGGAGTAACGATCGGATATCGAAGTGACCGTAAAAAATCTTTTAAAATTTGTAGACTTTCGGTTGGACATTTAAAAATAAACCAGATAAATTGTTATCATATATTATTAAAATAGATTGTGACTACGATCAGATATCAGAGTGACTACAAAAATGTGCTCTAGATTATATGAAAATAACACTACAGAGTTACCATCTGATTTATTATTGTCAATATTATTAATATATTTAATATATAATATAATAATATAGGATATCAAATTAACAATAGAAAATCTTTTCTAAATTTGGGTATTTACAGAGTTGCCATCTCGTAAATTGTTCTCATGCCCAATTGTGGCCACGATCAGACGGATATCAGAGTGACAAAAAAAAAACATGAAACCAAAAATTTCCAGGCGAACCGTTGGGTAAGTCTACATAGTTCCCATCTGGTACACTGTTATCATATATAAAAGATATAGGTTAGGGTTGCAGAGTTGCCATCTAGCTTAAAGCTGTGAACAGATGGAAAACAGAAAGTAACAATAATACAAATTACATTTTAAAATCATGCCAAAGAGTAAGAATTTAAACAATTTTTCTTGAGTTATACTACATGAACACACATTGAATTTTATTGTATTATATATAATATATATATAAAGTACAATAACATTTACAAACTGCATTACATCAAAAGCGCCCTTTGATGAATTATGCTTAGATATATATATTTTTATATATATAGTTGACTAAAATTGTATTTGTTGTTTGTTGTTTTCTCAGTATCTGCCTTTTCGCGCTATCACAATGATTAAATTACATTGTTCGACATCAGCTTTTCATAATAACTATAATAAATATTAGGTATATATATTAAAGGTATATCTACAGTATGTTAAAAACAATAGCTATCATGCATATATAAATCATATATGTATGTATTTATAATATGTCTGTCTAGCTTTTAACTATAGATTCAAGCACTTGAGCCGGCCAGGTTCAAGAACCTGTCTCACCCGGACCTCTATTAAAATATACTACGCGTAGCTTTCAGTCTTCAAATAAATCTAAAAATTCAGAAACTGCAATGCGTCTAGTTGTAATCCATATAACTGTCTCTAACTGTTCCTTACTGTTTTTTTTCAAGTGCTAGTTAAAATGTTTAAAATTTGGCTGCAACATTTGCTAATTGTTTCGATGTACATGTTGTAGTGTAGAGAGCCCCCAAATCAAATGCACTCAGCGTTGCCAGATAGTTTTGCAAATGAGTCATTTGCTAGCCTATGAATGCATTCATTTTGGAAGTCCACTTGAAAGACGGTTTATGTGTAGTGTAGGCCTAGTTGCTAGCCTGATGGCAACTATCGGCAGTTTTGCCAACTGCCCTTTCAAAAATAAGCTAGGTATGATGTTAAAAATAGCTAAAAATAGCTGAATAAGCCGGCTGAGCAGAAATAGGCAATAAAAGATTGCCAGAGTTGCCAGAAATAGCTAGATCTGATTAAAATATAGTTATGTTCAGCTGAAAGCCTTTGTTTAGGTCCACATATAGCTTGGAAATAGCTAAATAGCTGTTTTGAGCACATTTTAGCCATATGCAGAGTTGCCAAAGAGTAGATAAAAAGGTTTAAAATTTAACTATTTTTGTCTGAAGACATCGGAAAATATCCGTATTTAACAAGAAAATAGCTGAATTGGCAACACTGTTGCTGAGCAAAAACTGGCAATGAAAAGGGTTGCCAGATTTGTTAAAAAATAGCTAAATAAGCTTAAAATTTCAACTGTTTCCGGCGAAAAAGCTCTGCCAAGCACCGAATTTGGCTAGAAAATGGCTAAATTAATGGCTAGCAGCCTACAAGCGCGTTGCCTCCGAAACGGTGGCAACATCGCATCCATTATTCGCCTGCTGCTGCGGCTGCTGCTGCTGCTGTTGCTGCTGCTGCGACTGCGGTTGTCCCGTGGAGATGCCCACGTCCGCGGTGGGCCTGGGCAGATGGGAATAGTAGCCCATTTGGCAGGAGTTCTGATGCGAGAGCTTCTGCGTCTGACTGAGCTGATATTGGGCCGCCTTCAGGGCCTGCTGCTGCTGCGGCGTCAGGCAGTCGCAGGCGGCCAGCAGCTCCTCAGTGGACTTGGCCGTAATCGTGGTCGTCGTCGTGGTCGTCAGCTCGCCCACAAATTCGGTGGGCGGCGGCGCATAGTTCTCCACGTCGCCATAGGTGGAATAACGGCCATACGGATTGCGACGCGGCATCGAATGCCGCTGCTGGGCAATCTGCAGCTTGACCGGCGGCTTCATGGCCACCGCTGTGTCCAGATAACCGTAGCCAAAGCCCTGTCCCACCAGAGCCTTTGTGGCCAGATTGTCCCACGACTTGGGCTTCTGCACATAGGCCATGCTGTTCGGATAGATCTGGGACGGCTGCACCTGCGTCGCGGTCACATGATAATGCGGATGATGATGATGATGATGCCCGTGGACATGGCCCTGGACCGGGACTGGCTGCGGCTGCTCGTACGACTGACGCGACTTGGTCGATGGCTGACGTGACGCCTGTCCCGCCTCGCTCTTGGGCTCCCAGAAGAGTGTATCCGTGCTGATAGAGGTCGTGTAGGAGGCGGAATCGGCGGGCGCAAATTCGCTGGAGGTGCACGAATGCAGGCTGCAGTGGCTCGCCAGCCCGGAGGCCAGGTCAAAGTAGCGCGAGCGCACGCTACCCGACTGCGACGGCTGCTGCTGATAATGATGATGATGGGGCTGCGCCTGTCCCGGCGGCGGCGGCGTCTGCTCGTGCACATGCCGATGATGGTGATGATGATGATGATTCGGCTGCGTCGCCTTGACCACAGGCGAGCCGGCGGCGGCGGCATGCGTCTTGTGCCGACCCGCTGCCTGTTTATCCTTCGGCTCGGAGCGCTCTCTTTCCCGGTCGCGATGCTTGTGCTTGTGCGTGTGCTCCTTGTGCTGGCGATGGCGACGACGTGTCGGCACGCACTGCGTATCGCAGCAGGGACTGGCCAGATCGTAAGCATCGAGACTGACATTATCCCCATTGCTGTGCGACTTCTCCGCGGACTTCCAGCGAAAGTGGCCCACACAGGGATTGCACGAGTGTCCGGCATGGCAATGCTTTGTCTTCTCCAGCTTGGCGGGCGGCTTGTGCTTCTCGCAGGTGCGCGGCGGCGGCGCCGGCGGCTTCACCCCGGAACCAACACCTAACCCTCCTCCTCCTGCTCCAGCGCTGGCGCTATGATACTGCGTCGCCTGGCTGGCGCTGTTCGTGTCCAGCGACTCGGTGCGCTGCAGCATGTACTGCATGGCCTGCTGCGCTTGGTGGGGATCGCTGCTGCTGCTTCGCTGCAGCCCCGCCTCGAGGTGCGCGGGCCGCAGCACATAGCGATAGCTCGGGTCCAGATAGTGATAGGTGAGCATAAACTGTGCCGGCGGCGGTATGATCACCGGTTGCTGTCGCAGCACCATGTTGGCCACATCCTCGGTGGACAGGGCGGGTCGATAGAAGCCCGGCTCGTTGGCGCCCGGCTCCGTGGGCGAGATGCCGTCGCCTTCGCTGGGCGAGCTGTTGGCGGCATTTGCCTTCTTACGCGCCGGCAAGCTGTGCGTCTTCCACTTGCCCTCCAGGAGCTCGCGTTCGCGCAGATGCACACGCTCCAGCTCGTTCATCTTCTGCTGCAGCATGCTCTGCAGCTGGATGTAGCGCATGTGCAGATCCACCTGTGCGAAATGATGGGTTTCTTTAGAGGATTAACTGGAAGAGTATGACCCGCAACTTACCTTGCGCACACAATCCTCGAAGAGCACAACCATGCGCATGCGCAGCTCGCACTTCTTGATGAAATCCACGATGGTCTTGTGATCGGCCTTCTCCATGTCGTTGCCATTGATCGAGAGTATAACATCGCCCTCGCGCATTCCGGCCCGATAGGCCGGCCCGCCATACTCCACATAGTCTACGTACGTGATCATCTCCAGCTCCTCGTCGCACTTGTAGTGTATGCCATAGCTCTGCAGCGTGAAGCCGTACGAGTCGTTCCTCTTCTCCACAATGATCGTGCGTCGCCGTCGATCCTCGTCCGGCTTGGAGGCCAGAAAACGCTCTGACTTGTAGCGGCCCAGGATGTGCGTGGAGCGCGACAGCTGCGAGGGTGACGGAAATGTTGAAGGATAAGTCATGGAATATTCGATAACTACATGATAAAAATGCCATGGGATCCATGGGGGATAAGTTTGAGCAACTTTTTGGACTCTGGACAAATATCTGAACCAAACTCTTAATGATATCTACTCTTCTCTCTCCCTTCTCTTCTTAATCCTGACAGAAATTTTCTTTTTCTTGTTATACTCCGAACCCATCGCAATTGAGAAGGAAACATCTCCGACCTTAAAAGAAGACGAGCTTATTTGATCTAACCTTGTCTGTCTCATCATCCTGTAACATATGCAGACTTAATCATTTTCTTTCCATATCCCCTCCCAGTCTTATAATATCCACTTCAAAACTTGGTTTTTTGGCATTACTATTACTATAGCTATAGACTCTTCTTGTATACTTATTCTTGATCAAGAAGTCTAGCTAGTTTGATCTAGTCTTGCCTGTCTCTCTAAAGATACAATTTTGCGCTTTATTATATAGAAACTTTAACATGCCACATTTAAGTCCAGAAAAGTTCTTACAAATCTGACTTTAAACAGTTAAGTTAATCAAGACTGTATTTTCCCATACTTGGTAAGAGAAAGCACAGTCCAGAGTACTAGAATGTTTATAGCGGCGGCGTATAGGGTAACCCCTAGTCGGGCAGTAGCTGCCAGAGCCTGAGGGCTTGCTTTCATTTGAATAGCTTTAAAAAGCGGCCATCGGGCGTCAAAGCCATTTATGGCATCACAAATGTCCTGACGCTTTCTCTATTGCCCCTCTTCTCTCTCTCTCTCTCTCTCTCTCTCTCTCTCTTCCTCTGTCTCTATTTGTCTGTCCTTAGTAAGGATTTAATGAAAAGCCCAGCGTTGTCTATTTAACTATGGCATGTGTGTGTGTGTGTGTGTCTGTCTGTGTGCCTTGTTTGCTTTCCATTGTTTTAACAGCCCTCCCCCCTCCTCCTGCTCACCCCCTTGGTCCAGACTCTGCTCAGTGAAAGTGTTGTCTGCGCCGTCGTCCTCATAGCGTATTCATGGAAAACTTTTTGTTAAAAGTTGGAAAACGTGCTGCTCTTAAGCCTGGCCAACAGTTGGCAAACATCATTTCATTTCACGTGGCCAGCCGGCGGCCATTTGGTGTGCCACATTTGTGGCTGAACCTAAATGAATATCCCCAGGTGTTAACTACTATGAATGCCCTGTAAACTGTTCTGGCAGAGGGTATATGCAAGTTGTGTAGAGTTATGTAACAGAGCAGGAGAAGAAATCTTTATTCTTCTCTATTCTTGATCAGCATTAAAAGTCGAGTCATTCTTTATGAACTTAACCAACTTAAATATTTGAAATATAATAGTGAGAGTTAGGCTCTAGTCGGATCAAAAACGAAAGGGTATGGCTTATACTTTATGGAGTCGAAAGAATCTCCTCTTAATACATTGAATTGGTTTTATCTTATTTTTATTAATAATATTAACTATAATTACAAAACAAAATATCATTGGCTCTTCAACTCCGATGTCTTATTATTAATATTCTTATAAGTTTAAAACAGAATTAAGGCTATGAAACATTGTTTAGGCTCAAGAGCGAGTATTTCGACAAATTCCCTGCCCAAAAAGTTTGTCAAAGTTTTTACAAAACAAACATCAACAACGCAGCCATATTAGTGTGTTTTGTGCTTTATAAACGTGACGTCATGAGCCTGCATGTCGTAAGCACGCCTGAGCGTTGAACTAGCAAAAGAGAGGTCACTGGTTCCAATTTAAAAATTATATACAAATTTTCGTATGTGCTTATTTAATTAGTTATTGCACAGAGAAAAAGGCAGAAATAATAATAGTTTAAACAAAAAGTACATTAACTCGATCGGGCTTTAGTCTGTTTAAAGTAAGCGGGTTTTACGCTCACTTTTTCGGTAAGACTTGCCATTTGACCCAAGCTGGTCTCTGTTTGCTTTTATGGTCTGCACATTTATAAATATTAAATGCAATCGGACGCTCGGGAATCAGACCCAAGAAAATGCTAGAATTCCAGAGAGTAGTTGAGCAGGTGAAGCAGCTTTAAGCACAGAAATATGCAGGGCAGAAGGCACAAATAACATAAGTATATGAATATGCATAAACCTATCTATAAAAATAAAAAATAAAACGCATGGCATAGTAAATTACACATGCAGCTAGAACGAGCCACAAGCTGAGCCTACACAACAAACAGTTCCGGTTTCAATTTCATTTACCATTTCCAAGCATTGCACAAAAATATCATAAAAACCATAATTCAATTAATTTCATGAACAAAGGCCGTGTAGCAGGGCACGTCCATCGTTTTCGGGGTTCGGGGCTCGGATTGATGGCGTGTCGCTGCTTCCGGAGCATTGAATTATTTAAAGTTGATTGGCGAGGCGCAGCCTTGGTTTGTGCTGGCCAAGTGTTTGGCCAAGCGTAAACTTCGGTGGGTTAAACAGCTGAGGCGGCTTTCAACCCTCTGAACTGCCCACACTACACGACAAAAACAGCGTCAAAAGCCACCACCAGCCAGGGTTGCCTACTCAGCTGCGAGCTAGCCAAATTTGGCTATTTTTAGCTATTTCTTTACTTTAAATTCAGCCGCTATTTTTGAGACGGAAACACGTCTTGCCAGTTCACCTGAAGACATCTTCAGACGGAAGCAGTAGAGCTTTCAGAGTTAAATGCCAGATTAATCTAGAGGTAAAACCATGAAGAAAAAGCAAAGCCTTATAAAAATCGGTTGAATTTTGGCCGAGTTATGGGAATGGGAAATTTTTACCCTTGATATATCGATCCTAGGGGCTCAATTTGGACATGAATTTCGACTAAAAAATACGTTGTCAGACTTAAATGCCAGATTAATCTAGAGGTAAAACCATGAAGAAAAAGCCAAGCCTTATAAAAATCGGTTGAATTTTGGCCGAGTTATGCGAATGAGAAATTTTGACCCTCGATATATCAATCCTAGGGGTAAAATTTTGACATGAATTTCGACTAAAAAATACGTTGTCAGACTTAAATGCCAGATTAATCTAGAGGTAAAACCAAGAAGAAAAAGCCAAGCCTTATAAAAATCGGTTGAATTTTGGCCGAGTTATGGGAATGGGAAATTTTTACCCTTGATATATCGATCCTAGGGGCACAATTTTGACATGAATTTCGACTAAAAAATACGTATTCAGACTTAAATGCCAGATTAATCTAGAGGTAAAACCAAGAAGAAAAAGCCAAGCCTTATAAAAATCGGTTGAATTTTGGCCGAGTTATGGGAATGGGAAATTTTTACCCTTGATATATCGATCCTAGGGGCACAATTTTGACATGAATTTCGACTAAAAAATACGTATTCAGACTTAAATGCCAGATTAATCTAGAGGTAAAACCAAGAAGAAAAAGCCAAGCCTTCTGAAAATCGGTTGAATTTTGGCCGAGTTATGCGAATGGGAAATTTTGAGCCACATCAATATATCAATCCTAGGGGTAAAATTTGACATGAATTTCGACTAAAAAATACGTATTCAGACTTAAATGCCAGATTAATCTAGAGGTAAAACCATGAAGAAAAAGCCAAGCCTTATAAAAATCGGTTGAATTTTGGCCGAGTTATGCGAATGGGAAATTTTGACCCTCGATATATCAATCCTAGGGGTAAAAATTTTGACATGAATTTCGACTAAAAAATACGTTGTCAGACTTAAATGCCAGATTAATCTAGAGGTAAAACCATGAAGAAAAAAGCAAGCCTTTTGAAAATCGGTTGAATTTTGGCCGAGATATACGAATGGGAAATTTTGACCCATGTCTATATACGAATCCTCAGCTACGGAACTTGTGTTGCCAATTTAGCTATGATGTAGCTTAATTTGGCTATTTGAAGACGTCTTCAGCCGGAGCAGTAGAAATTTTAAACTGATTTAAACTGATTTGTGTACAGAAAGCTGTTTCGGCTATTTTTAGCTATTTTTTCTACAAATAGAGCTTGTATTTTAAGATCTTTAACCGGGAACAACATAAATACATACATATTTGCTGGCTTATCTGTGTGAAGTACTGTTTTACGTTTGGCACTTTAGCTATATTCTAGCTAAAAGTGTATTTTTTCACCTAATTTAGCTTTTTTCTTGTAATTTCAATGGCAACCCCTGCCAACTTGTGCTCAGAAAACGAATTTAGCTTTTTACAAGCTACTTTTAACACTCGGATTAAGCTACTTTTTATCAAACAAAAACATGTGTTGGAAGTTCAGCCTTATCGAAAATGTAATTCAGCATTTCTTAAGGTGCTTTTAACACTTGGATTAAGCTCCATTTTGCGACCCTTGGCAACACTGGCGGGTATATGTGTATGTGTATAAAGAGTTACGGCTGGGGGGCAACCAGCAGCAACAAACTACCACCCGCCACAAGGCAATTTCAATTGAGCCCACGCTGCAGGACATCGCATTATGACTCAATAAGCAGCCGCCGAGTGGGTGGATGATACTTTGCCCTACCTCGCCCATTTTCAATTAATGTGTGCTGGCCACATACCTGCGCATACTCGAGCTCCTCGTCGCTGGCATCGAGACTCTTGTGATGAAACTTAAGGCGACCCAGACTGCCCGTGCCGTTGACATAGTGTGACGCTGCCGGCGGCGCCTGGTGCTGGTGCGGCAGATGCTGTTGGGGCTGCAGGCAGGCGGCGGCTATGAGGGAACCGACCGAGGTGGCATTCGAAACGGACATGGAGACGGCGGCTGCTGTTGTGGCGGCGCTGCTGGCCGCCGTGGCGATGCTCTGGCAGCTGCTGCTCATGGTTTTATCTATTGATTTCTGCACGCAATCATATTGCCCAGGCAAGTCTTTTGGCCAGCGTCTGCGACTGCGAAGGCGAAGGCGACCCCCGACAACAGATACCGACAAAAATCGCACAAAATTGCTTTAACGTTTTAAATGAACTGAATATCTCGACACGGTATTAAATTGGTGTAGCGCTCGCTTTAAGCGCTGTCCACGTTATAATTCCAATTAGTCATAACATTGACCAAATTGCTGCTGCCTATGAATTTGTTTTGTTGGAAAACTTTTTCAGATTCGTGCGGCGGCGGCGGCCGTCGTGTGGGTTTCCGCTTCGCTTGCTCCACTTCCGTTCGAGTTTGCTGCCGTACTGAGTGGCAAAGAGCAACCGGACATGCGAGTATATGCAACTAGAACATTACCGTTAGTACTTATTTATGGCACATGTTGACTGTCAGCCGCGGCGTTGCATGGCAAAAGCGATAGAAAAAAAACGCGCGCGCTCAGTTCAAAAGCGCATGCGCGGAGCTGCCACCTCCACAAAACACACGCACAGCATTTGTCTGGCAGCACTGTTTCAATAAGTGCTGACAATGTTAGCGGAATGTTATATTATAGGCAACTAAATTTGCTTTCTATGCATAAATTGACATAAGCAGGGTTGTTGCAACTGTTCCCGCCAGACGAACTCTGAAATAAGCTGATATAGCTTTAAAATAGTTAAATTGGCAGCACTGGAGTCAATGTGACCAATCAAACGCTTTATTTTTATTTTATTCATGTTTATTCAGAGTTTAGAAAATGTATAAAATTGCTATTCAGCCAACTCGCCACCGGGCACCAACTGTAATTAAATATTATATAAATAAGCAAAAATAATTCCATCTCAGCAGTTACCATCTCCTACTTACCATTGTAATGTTGTTGCCATTAAGCAGAATCTGATCCAGCTTTGTGATGCGGCGTCCATCGGGCGTGTTCTCGTATTCCGTTACATCGTCCAGCAACATGTTGACAAAATCATCAAAGCCCAGCAGGGTGCCCACCATTTCCTTGTCGTTCTTCATGATGATGTGAATTCTGGAACCGATGCATTTGTCCACCAGTTCTGCCGGCACCATGACAAACGTTAAAAATGCTTGTAAATAGATGTTTTTTGTTGTTGCTTACCCAGTGGCATCAATGTGGATATGTTTGCGGGCGGCGGCACAGCAGTCATTTTGCGTAATTCACTCAAAAAAACAAAATAGAAACAAGAATGTTTAATAAGCGCCGAGCAGATGCGGCAAATGTTTTCGATAACATGCGAGTGCGTGGTGAATTCAGAACTATCGGTTTAACATGTGAGGGTGGGGTGAATTTCGAAGTCGATATTTTTACTGAGCATAGCTGCAGGCGAGCAAAGCAGCCGGTCTTTTGCCATAGTTAAAATAAGAAACAAGCGCCGCTGCCATGAACGACGGTAAATTATTTATTTATAAATATTATAAACACGCTCTAATAGTTTATCTACGCAGAGGAGATTATAAAACAGCGTCTGCTTATCGATGGCGATGGCACGGGCGAAGACCGCAGACTGAACATGCTCTTAAAACAGTTCCTGAAATGGGCCAATTCCAAGAACGACTCCCCGGAGACCAAGTAGACTGCCCGACAAATAATCCACAATTAATGCTCATTAACAAGCTTCAAATTTTAGTCAAATAATGTTCGATCGGTTGATGGCGCAGCTGGCACAATGTCAATTTGCCGCATTGAAAAATGTGCAAACGCTGCGGATGATCCAGGAGGAACAGGAGAACTACACGAAGCTGGCGGAGAAGCATCAGGAGAGCATCGAATTGGCCAAGGAGGAGATCGAGGCGAGCAAGAAGGAGCTAATCATAGCCAAGGAATTGCGAAAAAATAAAATGGAATACGATTTGCTCGCCTCGCTCATCGAAGCGCAGCCGGATCGCAAGGCCACCGAGAAACAAATCGAGACCATCAAAAAGGAGATCGACAAGCTGACACAGAAGAAGCTTAAGATGGAGTTCAAGTTCCAGAAGCGTCGTAACGACTTCACTCTACTGATGTACACCATACACGAGCTGGAGCAGCAGCTGGAGGAGGAGAACAGCTCGGGCTCGTCGTCTTCGTCAAGCGAAAGCGACGCCGCATCCGTTGATAATATCGACAATAATGGCATCATGGAGGTCAGCGACGAGGATGATGACGATGAACTGAACAACGTTGTGACCAACAAATTCGATAGCAATCGCGGCAAGCCCAAGGAAAACTCCGCCTCAACGGAGAGCTCCAAGGAACCCATAACCATGTCTGTCGACGAGGATGCCGTGCTGGAGCTGAGCATTGAAAAGGATGAGCACGACGTGGACGTGGCCGTGGCCAGTTAGAATAGGAGTACAAATTAGTTATACAATAATTAAAAAAAAAAAACAATTTATTTACAGTCAACAATTAGGTTGATTTAAATGCGAGATCCGCCACGAGAGCCACGTGATCCGACGGAAACGTAACGGACGGTATAGCCTCGTTGGCGCTCAACTCCTCCACCGTGGGCAGCGGCACAGACTGCAGCAGCTCCAAGCAATCGCTCTGATAGAATATATAATCCAAGCAGGCCGCAAAGAGCGTCGTATAATTGGTGTACGGCGGCGTGCCGCAAGCGGAGCTCATCATGAACGGCTGTCGGAGCTCCACATCGGTGACAGCCTCCTCCGCATTGCTGCGCCAGTCTACAAAATCGGTGCCCACAAACTGTTCGGTCATCAGCTTATAGATGCCACACTCCGGCACGCTATTAAAGTCGCCGCAGAATATGAGTCCAATATTTTGCGAACTAATATTGCGTTCCTTTATGGTCTGCCTGTACATGTGCTCCACGAAGATGAGCGAGAAACCGATCTGCAGCAAGCGTATGTGATCCGCATCGGGATGGAAGTAAAGATGTGTATTGGCCACCAGCACATAGCGATCCGTTTCGCGCAGCTGCAGCAGGCACAGCTGCAATGTGGTGGATCTGTCGCAGATGCGCTTGGCCAGCTGCTCGTTGTGCTTGATCCGATTCCAGAGCGGTGCGAAGATGGGCAAGGTGCTGATGTTGTCGCCAAGGTGCAGGACATAGTTGTGAAGCAGCTGGAACTGCGATTTGCGATAGAACAGGGCAATGCCCTCGGCGCAGGCGCCCTTGGGCGTCATGATGCCAGCGAAGCTATGCTCCAGCACGTGCTGCAGATCGTGCTCGAATATCTTAAGATCCACCTCCTGCAGGCACAGCAAGTCCGCATTGTAGCCAACCAGCTCCTTGATGAACAGCTGCTTGCGGTACTCAATTTTCAGTGCAGACGGAGCGCAGTAGGGAAACAGAGTCTTGCGCGCGTAATCCCCATCCGCATAAAGATCAGCCAGCAGATTGTAGCTGACCACGCGCATCTCATGGGCTCCGCTCAGCGGCTGGCGTGTATATTGCTGGCGCAGCTCGAAGGGACAAGCGCCGGGTCCCGGCTGAACCGGCAATTTGCTGATGCACTCCGTCGCCGGACCCGAGAGGCCACTCTCATTTGCCGGCGTCACAACCAGCTTTAAATGATAGCCTATATCCGCGGGCGCCATTTGATAGATCAGACCCTTACCGCATGGTTCCCACTTGGTTTGCTCATTAAAGATTCCTGATGCGGGCTTTGTTGCTTTGAACCATTCACCTGAACTGTGCGCCCGGCTGGCAAACTGCAGTTCGAGCTTCAGCGGATAAACCAGGCAGCCGGCCATCATAGAGCTGGGTAACTGGAGTGCTCCGATCCAGGGCTCATTGAGCACCACATCAAATGTGGTGTCCAAAACACGCAGTTTGAGTTCAACATTTGCAAGGTCCGACAGCAACTCGGCAAAGGTGATGCCCAGGATGCCTTCCTCGGACCCGTCCCGATGAAGCGCCACAATTATCTCATCCGGATTGGGGGGCGGCGTGGTCTCGGCAGCACCTGGTGCGCCCTTGGTCTTCTTCCTGCTGCGTTTGGTCAGCTCCTTCTCGACATTGTGCCGTATCCGGCTGAGGGCCTCATCCACACGCTCGTCCATGCGCCGGCAAAAGTTAAAGCTGCGATCTAGCTTGAGCTGCTTGTTGGCATAGCGAAACGTAATGTGCAGCTCCTCCGAATTTTGTGCATGGCGCAGATACACTTTATCCATGGCGACGGCTGTGCTGTGCGGCCGTATACTACGTAAGCAAGTCGAAAGTGCAGTTACTCGCAGTTGTTGTTGGAATAACTTGAGCCAACACAAATGAGAAAACTTTGCAATCATTGCCTTGCCGGCGTGCTGCTTTAGGCAGTGTTGCCAACACAGCTTTTTTATAGCTAATTTGAACAATGTTTCGGTCGTCAGCCGTAAAAAGTAAAATGTATCACTTATTTACCTACATTTTGTAGGCTATTTAGCCTTTTTTTGTTACTTAACATTGAATAAGGCTACTTTTTTTACTGGCCGGTGGCAACACTGCCCCTGTTATGAAAACAGGCGAATAGTTAGGCGCCCAATTTAAACTCAGAAATCTTTTCATAATTAGTGATTTCTGTCTGTTGTTCAAACAAAAGATACCATATTAAAAATAACAGTGGCTGTTTTGTGCTCGTCAAAACAATAAAATTGGGACTTTATATGCCTGTAAATACCATAAATAATCGATAACAGCGCTGTTACAATGTTATGTTATGTTACCTTGCTGTTATGCTTGATTAACAGTGCCAGTAAGCAGCTGTTAAATATCTGCTCATCTAGCAGTAGCTCCAATGAGCGATAATCAGTTCGCCTAGTTCATTTGTTCAGTAGAGTCGTCGTTCAGACGAACTTGAGCCAAACGTTTTGATACCAACTCGAATGCAAATATAAAATCGCGCACCAAAGACTAATTGAAAGTTTAATTTTTAATAATACAAGCACTGGTGCATGTCTCTTGCACCAACAGTTACACACAATGACGAGTGATGACAAAAGGTAGGTGGCAAAACAACAAATAAGCAAGCAAAGCATTGTGAGGTTATGTGTTTGTGTGCTGTGCGTGTGTATGCGTGTGCAATATGTGTGTGTGTGTGTATGTATATTAATTTGTGGTGTGTGCTTCCAAGCAGTTACGACTCCAGCGACAACAGCGAGACCGAGGAGCGCCGCGCCAAGCACAAAAAGTCCAAAAAGCATAAGAAACACAAAAAAACCAGCTCCAGCGAGAAGGTGCACAAGAAGCACAAGAAATCCAAGAAGCGCCATCAGCGTCAAAGCGAATCCTCAAATGCTGGCGCCCAAAGTCTTAGCAGCAAATTCACCGAGATCATGCAGGCGGCCAGCCGGGAGCGCAGCGCCATACTGTCGTCCAACGGCTCCGCCGACTTTCGCATCGTTAAACCCAACACGGATCCGTGCAGCCTGGTCGAGGAGATAACCAAAACCATACAGAACAAGGTGCTGCCCGTGCTGGAGGTGGCTACCTCGGGTAGCGAGAGTGAAGTGTATGTATCTAATGACAAAAACACCTAATAGAACATCTGTCTTCGGCACGCCGAAGATTAAATACCCTTGTGGAACTTTGGCTTAAGGTTTTGTAGGCCTGGATATCTTAAAGACTTGTTGAGAGATTCTTCCTGTAGAGCTCTGTCATATAGTCCGATGTTCATGAGATATGAATCATATATTTTTCAAATATCCGAACGATCATTCCTGACCATTTCGATTGCAAAGAAACAGACAGACGGGCATGATCCGAACTGTTCAAGATAAAGACTTTAGGGGCTCAAAGATGTCTCGTTCCATGGTTTACAATAGAGGATAAAAATAAGTGTTACAATAATAATGAGATAATCATATTTAATTCCAGCCCCATTGACATTGCCAGTCCTGTGTTGCCGGCCAAGCTCGAGGATGAGCTCAATTTAGAGGAGCTGATGAAGCAAAAGGCACTGCTGCAGGCGCGTCTGGGCGCCTACATGTCAGACACGGAGGGCGACGAGAGTCGCTCCAATTCGGTGCTGGCTAAGCGCAGACGTGACGAACTGCAGCAGCAACAGCAGCAGGCCATTATAGCAGCTATTGAGGTGCCTCAGGGCAGGCCGAGCTCGCAGTCTGCAGCGCCGCTGGCAACTGCAACTAGTAAACATGTTAATAATAAACAGTCTAACATCAATAACTCAAACGAACCCGATGTTATATTATTGGATGATTCTAGCGGTGGTCAGCGCACGCCCTCGCCCACGCCGGAGAAGCGACGACGTCACGCATCGCCCGCCCGCCCGCAGAGAAGTCGCACACGTGAGGACGCATCGCTGGCGACGGGACGCTCACGCGATCGACGCTCCCGCGATCGTGCGCCCCTCGATCAACGCAGTCGCACGCCGCGCCGTCGCATAGAGCAACAGCAGCAACAGCAGCAGCAGCAGCACCACAACCAGAGACGCCACCATCAGGAGTACAATAGGAACATGGAGGATCTGCGCCAGGAGATCAATCGCGACAAGCAGCGCGAGCGGCGCGAACAGAGTCGTGATCACGATCGACGTCCGGACAGGGACAGCCGACAGCCCGCGGAGCGAGCCGGCGGTCGGCCGCGTGAGCGTGACCAACGAGATCGTGAACGCTGGAATCGGCCACGGTCGCACAGTCGCAGCAAGGTTGAGTCGGACCGCAGACGTGAACGCGAACGCCAGCAGGAGCAGAATCGTGGTGGTGGCGGCACCGGACGCGGCGGACGAGGCTCTGGCAATGGCTTTGGCGCCGCGGATCGCGATCGCTACAAGGGCTCGCTGAGCGAGGGCCAGAAAATGCACGAAAAGGAGAGCAGCGACGAGGAAGTCAGCCTGGACATAGACATCAACGAGGATGAGGATGACGAGGAGCGCATCATTGAGCTGCGCCGCAAGCAGCGCGAGGAGCTGCTCAAGGTAACGGCACACAGCATAACGTATATATATATTGTCTTGGGTGACTGCTTGAAGATCAGATTGGGTGGAATACTAATGTATAATGCCAGCTTATATAAACTTGAGTTCCAACTACAAATTTCTTATCGTTTCTGAACAGAAATTGGGCACCAATGATCAGGAGTCGCGCACGGCCAGCCCAACGCCACGCAAATCCAATTCGTACGAGTCCAGAAGCACTTCACCCGTTTCCTCCAAACCGGAGCGTGCACAGCGCACGCCCACGCCCACGCTACAGGATAAGGAGGAGGAACACCAGCGAGATACACATGGCAAGACGGAGCCCTTTGATGCGAATTCGTCCAAGAACAGCGCAGTTAAAGAGAAACGCAACGAGTGGGACATGTTTGCCGATCAGGACGTCGATTCCAATTTCGATGTGAGTCGCAAGCTCGTAAATGTCACAATATCTTTTGCTCGCTTAAGTTTCTAATCCCAAATTCTCTTAATCCTTCTAGTCACCTAGCACAATTGTGCACAACAAGCATCAAATTGAGAATCCGGCGCTGACAGACAATTGGGACGATGCCGAGGGCTATTATCGCGTGCGCATCGGCGAGGTCCTGGACAATCGCTACCTAGTCAGCGGCTACACCGGACAGGGCGTGTTCAGCAATGTGGTGCGCGGCCGTGATCAGGCGCGTGGCGCCGCCAACGTGGCCATCAAAATTATACGCAACAATGAGATCATGTAAGTGCGAATCTAGGGAGCAGCCTAGCTATGCCTGGACAGAATTTAAAAGACTCTTAAAAAGGCTTTCATAAAACAAATATAGTTTTGTTCAACCGATTTTTAACGATTTCCACTTAGAAGATTTTCCAAAATTTGTTAGATCAATAGAAATATCGAGTCTTTAGTTAGTATAGTCTATATGTCTTGTAAGATGAAGCCTAATATTAATATTAAATATCCTGCAACAGGCACAAAACGGGTCTGCGCGAGTTGGAAATCCTGAAGAAGCTCAACGATGCCGATCCCGATGATCGTTTTCATTGTCTGCGTTTGTATCGGCACTTTTTCCACAAGCAGGTGAGTTTTTCAACTGGCTAAAAATATGATCAATTTATTTAAAAAAAATCTCTTTCAACCCCCGCGTTGTAGCATCTGTGCATGGTGTTTGAGCCGCTGGCTATGAATCTGCGTGAGGTGCTCAAGAAGTATGGCAAAAATGTGGGTCTGCACATCAAGGCGGTGCGCAGCTATACGCAGCAATTGTTCCTGGCGCTCAAACTGCTGAAGAAGACTGGCATACTGCATGCGGACATCAAGCCCGACAATATTCTGGTCAATGAGAATAATCTCATCTTGAAACTGTGCGATTTCGGCTCCGCTTCGGGCATAAGTGAGAACGAAATAACGCCTTATCTGGTTTCACGTTTCTATCGTGCACCCGAAATCATATTGGGCATACCCTATGATTATGGCATTGATACCTGGTCGGCCGGCTGCACCATCTACGAGCTGTACACGGGCAAGATATTGTTTAGCGGCAAAAGCAATAATCAAATGCTCAAGTTCTTTATGGATGTCAAAGGCAAAATACCCAATCGCATTGTACGCAAGGGTCAGTTCAGGGAGCAGCATTTCGACCAAAGCTGCAATTTTCTCTACCACGAGATAGACAAGCTAACCGAGCGGGTAAGTGACGCGTCTGAATACAGGGCTCTATTTTAAACTTTCTACTGATATCATTTCTGTTGCCTTTGCAGGAGAAAATCGTTGTGATGCCCGTGGTGAAGCCAACGCGCAATTTGCAGCAGGAGCTGATTGCCGATCAGAATTTGCCCGATGATCAGCATCGCAAGGTTACACAGCTGAAGGATCTGCTGGAGAATATGTTTGCACTGGATCCGGGCAAGCGTATATCGCTGAATCAGGCGCTAATGCATCCGTTTATACAGGAGAAAATGTAGATCCGAGAGAGAGAGAATAAACGTAATTCAATAATTTCTAGACTAAGCAATTACGTTAGCGATGTTAGTTAAAGCGAGTTATTCGAGTTATTATTATCATTACCGAACTTCAAAGGCGACCACTCACCCCCAGACAACACACATCTATTAAATAGAATACAGCTACTATCTTTCTACATACTATATATAAATATATATATACATATATATATTTATATATATGCAAATACTATATAAGCAAATGTACATAAGTTTTGTGGTTTTTTGTTGTACGCGCTTTGTGAAACGGCCGAGTTGTTATATGTGTGCGTGCTTACGACTTTTTCGATAGATCTAAGTAATACCTAATATATATATATATGTATATGCATGTACTATGTAAAACTACAAAAACACCCACCATATACCAATTCTTCTCTCACTACTCACACACACACACACGCGCGCAATTATATAGTATATATAACTACTAGTTGCATTCGCCTCTTTTCACAAACTATTATTAATATTTGATACCATTTCAGTGGACCTGCTCAGCCAAAATCACGTTTCTAGCAAACGTCTAGAAAAGTAATGTGGAGCCGCGAGCAGCGCAACTGGTAATAATTTATTTTTGGGCTCAAAATCAGTTTATAAACCAATTATAACACCGGGTCAGCTTGCTATAATTTTTTTTTTTCACCCTTTAAAAAAAAAACACATTATGGTTTGTCTTAAAGCCTCCGTTTAATGCTGTTGTTTTTTCTGAACTTGCAGCAAACTCGGCCGAAAGTGCCCACAAAATGTGGAAACTGCGCGTCTGTTGAAACTGACACAATTCCACGTCCGGGCGTAAGTTGTTAGATCCTTGAAAATCGCGTGTTTTACTGAGAAACATTCTCTCTCGTGTGTTTTTCTATCCACAGGTCAAAACGGGAGCGCGGATCCCCTCTTGGCACAAGTAACAGGTAACGTAAGCAAAAGGTTTAATATTTCCTTAAATGAACCCTGATAAGACTGCCAAGCGTAGAACAAAGCGTAGGAGTGAGGCATTAAGTTTGTTTAGGTTTGATTTTTAGCCCATCCATACTTTTGTTAGGCATATTCCAGGTCTGATCCGTCCGTCTTTCAAAGTAAATAAGTCTCAGTAGTTAAGTTATCTTAAGGAGCCATACATAAGTTAAGAGCTGGATGGTTCGGCTCACTCCTCATATCATATATCATATTGCTTCCTTAGGAACAATAGTTATTGTATGAAAAACTTACTCTTTAAGGACATCCTCACTGAACTCAACCTTTTCAAGTGTTACTGCATTCCTAGCTATCTCATATAGCTCCCATAAATTAATTTCATATAGATTTCATAGATAATCTCTAGAGAATTAGGCTCTTTTTGTCTGTAAAGATATCTTGATCAAATTGACAATTACGAGTATGCAGTAGATAAATCAGAAGCAGCCGAATCGAAATATGATGCCAATGCTAGGTCGAAAACTTAGTTCTTATATGAAAATCTTTTTGTTTTTCAAAGTATTTTGACTTTCATACATTTTTTCATTATGTTCCCTACATATAAGCTGCATATTATCAATACGAGACACTTATAGCATAGAGTTTTCCTCGATCGGTCAAATATTAAGTTCTTATATAAACAACTTTTATGTTTTCCAAGTTATCCTGAACAACTTGACATTTCCGAGTTCTAAACTGTTTCACACATATGAGCTGCATCCTATCAACAGTGGATTACTAGAATATATATTTTGAAGGGCCTCGAGCCAGCCAACAAATATTTTAGATATATAGGAAGCATATGTCGTTTTTCGTTTTTTATGTGGAAAAGGTTTAAGATAGCTTCGCAAAACTTGGCTTTAGAATTCTCCTCATATATTTGCAAAGTCGTAAGGCAGAGGTCCCCAAAGGGAAGACAATTTTAGCCCTTCAAAAAGAACCTAACCATTATGAGTTTCAACTTTATTCTCGAGAAAATTGGATATCTATATTATATAGTTGTCATAGAAACGAGGAACAGTGAATAGATTCTGATAGAATTCAATATGAGTTTTCGTATATCTACAGAGGTATAAAATCCTTGAGTCTGATTTTGTTAAATTTCAAAGATTTCCTAGCCGGGGGCTTAATCAAGGCAGTTTATTATATCATTTCACAGTCCTTAAGTAAAGTTTGTTAAGTCGAACATACAAATTTCAATTACAACGGAAATTTCAACAAGCTTTCAAAAGAATTGATTTCTTTTTGCTTGCTTTAACAGACTAGTTATATAAATATATATATATATGTATTCTAAAAAATTAAATATAGTCAGCTACTTTGAAGAGTTATCCTGGCACCGATGGCTAGTCCAGTGTGTCGCTGGGCGTGGGCAGCTTCAGAGCCGTCTGCAGCGTCTCGCTGGCGTTGAGGGTGTGCAGCCGTGGGGGGCGGAGTTCGCTGCGCAGCAAACACTTGAACTTCTTGGGCTTCCAGTTGTTGTTGGCGTGCGGATCGCGCAACAGGCCAAAGAGGCATTCAAAGACGCCAACAGATCTGTCGGCCGTGTGCAGTGTGCCGCAGCAGAGCACCACGACCTGGCCAAAGTTGTCGATGCGTCCCTGCACGCCCGAATGCGTTAAATTGGGATTAAAGTAGAAGCCAAACTGTTGCTTAGCGCTGATCAGCGCTAACAGCACCTGCTCAGCGCTGGCGCACTGCATCTCGCTGGAGCCGTCGTCCGCAATGACCTCCAGCTGCAGCGCCGCATCGCTCCACAAATCGGTCAGCTTCAGCTGATCGGAGTTGTATTTGTCGAAGAACCATTCGCCAAATTTGCGCGCTATCAAATGTATGGGGAACTCCTCTTCCTTGCACGGCTGGGTCGGACAATATGTGTCCAAGCTAGTTGAGCTTTGGACTTGCATGGTGCCCTTGTTCAGCTGTTGATCCCAATAATTTATCACCCGCATGACCAGATCCGCTTTGGTGAAATCTGTATTGGCACCGGGCAGGCGTTTATGCAGGTATTTGAACAACAGGTCCCGTGTAATGTGTCGTTTATACAGCAGCTTGTGTATGTCCTCCGTGTGCGCCGTCAGGTAGTCCAGCGCCTCTGTAGGCAGAAATCTTGTTGGGTTTGTTTATGGTTTTGCGTCATTTTGCTTACCTTCGGGCTCTTCGATGCTGCACACATTTTTTGTGACGCTTCTGGCCAGCTGCAGCAGCACGGGTGTGTTTGTTTCGTTAATCAGGAGATCGCGCAGCCCGATGCGATGCTGCTCCGATATGGACATGTTTTTAGTTTGCAATAAATATATGCAAACAAATAAATTACAAGCATTTGGCTGGCCAGGTGTGAGAACAGCGCTTGCAGTGTGACCGTAAATGATAACCAAAAAATACCTAGTTTTTATGCTGTGCACACACAGGCTGGCAGTGCTGGAAAATGCGCTCACTGCGCTTGCTAAGCAAATTCAATTATATTCAATTTGATATTGCACGCTTTTAAATACAATTAATGTTATACATTTAAATCATATCAAATACATGCTACATTTTGTTGCCGGCATAAATCACGTATTCGTTGCCGCATAAACGCCGTTATTGCCGTTTCGTTTCCACACACTCATTCGCAATAAATATTTACGTTTTGCAAAACGGGTTTTAATAGGTTTCGGGGACAGAGTACACCTTAAAAGCTTTCCCAACTAAGGGGCTGGACCTTATCTCTTATCGTAATCGAGTCCGACAAATATGTCGGCGACAATCGAACACCAGTTTTAGTGGCAAAGCGCAGCGGAATTTACATTAATTTGCGCGTTTACCTGAGTGTTAGTGCATACGTAACTCCCCCACAAACAAAGTCTGCAAATGGAAACCGGCGAGGGAAATATGGCTGGGCCATTTATTGGCGCCATTGACGAGGGCACGACCTCGGCGCGCTTTATGATATTCCGTGCGGGCACCGATGACATCGTCTGCTACCATCAGATCGAGGTGCCGTCCATTTTCGTCAAGGAGGGCTGGTGCGAGCAGGATCCGCGCGTCATTACCAACACTGTCAACGAGTGCATCGAAGGCGCCTGCCAAAAGCTGGTCGCGCTGGGCGGCAAAATCGAGGTGAGCGACGGGGTCGGGGCCTATATAAAGGGGGGGGGGGGGGGGGGGGGGGGGGGGGGGAAGGCAAGGGTAGACACATTCTAGTTTCGCATCAAGCGCCAGGAAGCATATAAAAAGTCTTGCTAGTTTTAAAAACCGTACTTTAATGACAAGCACAAGGACACCGATTGGTTTTGGGGATCGGCTGCAGCTGGTTAACTGGCGCTGGCGTGTAGATAGTCGCGGTACTTTTGTGCCTCGTCAATGCGTTCCTGGAGCGTGCGCGGCGGCAGATTCTCGGCGCGATCGTCCAGCTTCACGTAGATCTGATCGTTGTGCCCGAAGTCGCCATTGCGTCGCGGCATGACATGGAAGTGAACGTGCGGGACCGTCTGGCCGGCATTGGCGCCATCCTGGACGGTGACCGTGGCGGAAGTGGTGCCGTAGATGTGCTCCAGCATGCGCTGCACCATGCACACGGTGGCAAACAGGTCTGTGATCTCGGCACAGTTGAGTCCATTGAGGCGCGGCGTCACACGCTTCGTGGAGACGAGGACGTGGCCCTCGACGACGCAGCGCAGATTGGTGAAGGCATAACAGTGCTCGGACTCGAAGAATATGGTGCGCTTGTCCACGATGTTTGCCGCAAAGGGTCGATCCTGTCCAGCCTGTGTGCTCGGCGCACACAGCTTGTAGTCCGGAGCGCTCAGCTTGAAGCCCGTCAGGCTGTAGATGTCGTTGCGTCGATGCTCGAAGCAGGGCATGCTCTGATAGAGCTTCTCCAGCTGGCACAGTTCCAGCTCGGCTATGGCCACGGCCAGCTCCTGGTCGCCGCCGCAATCGGCCAGCACATTGCCCCAGGGACCGATGATCATGCTGTGGCCCCAGCTCTGACGCTTCTTGTTGTGCCAGCCCTGCTGGGCGGCGGCCACCACAAAGCACTGCGTCTCGATGGCGCGCGCCCGCAGCAGAATCTCCCAGTGTGCCTTGCCCGTGGCATAGGTAAAGGCTGCCGGATAGGTCAACAGCTGGGCGCCTTGTTTGCGCAGCAGCAGCGCCGGCTCCGCAAAGCGCAGATCATAGCAGATCTGCAGGCCCACCTGGCCGGCGGGCGTCGCCACGGGCTTCTCCAGCCGTTCACCCGGCGCCACCGTATCCGATTCACGCAAACGTATATCCTTGGTGGTCGCATCGAACAGATGCAGCTTGCGATAGACGGCCGCCAATTCGCCCCGATCATTGACCAGAACATGGGCATTGTATATTCTCGCGTTTTCCGCATCGGAGCCCGTCTTCAGCTCGTGCACGCCGCCCAGCGACAGCCACATCTGATGGCATTTGGCCAGCTCCTGATACTTGCGCATCAGCTGCCCAGTGAGGGGCTCCGCCAGCTGCAGCGTCTCGCCGCGATTCTCGCCCACAAAATCACAGCACTCGGGCAGAAATAGCATCTTGGCCTTTGAGGCGGCGGCACGTGCCACCAGCTCCTCCACTTGACGCAAATTGCACGCCTTGTCATTGGTCGCACGCATCTGGCCAACGGCCACGACAGCGGCGGCGCCGCCGGCATCTGGCACACCTGACATAATGCGCAGCTGCTGTTTGTTACGGCTGAATATGATTTGGGCGACTGTTCGACTGAGAATTTTAACTGTGTTTGACATTGAGGCGAACGGCACAACCTTAATTAAATATCCGGCTACAGTAAAAATAATTGTTACGTCGTTTTGCTTGCCTCTCTATATTTTTCTTTTGTTATTTCCTTATCAGCAAGTTTTTCTTTCTTTACATATATTTTTTGTTTACTGTTTCTCTGCTGGCCGACCAGTGTTGCCAAGCCGCGCAAATGCGGCAAAAATGAACGCGAGCTTTGAACAGCGCGCCAAAAAGCTTTTGTTCAAACTGCAAGCTTTAAAGAAGCATTTTATTCAAAGCTCAAGTGAATAGTTCTTGGAAAATATACAAGAGCCGTTATTTTCGTCGATTAAATACTTGCGAAAAAATGTGTTGTAAAATTAAGTAAAGATTTTTAAGGAGCAGATGAAATGTAAAGGGTCAAAATTTCTCATTCTCTCTTTTTTTTTTTTAATTTATTTTCATTAGTTCTCAGGCCATTTAAGCTAAAAGTTAAAAATAAGTTAAACGTTTCATTACTACAAATAATTAAACAATTTTTTTTTTATATATTTTCCCAAATTCTCAGGACATTTTGGCCATTGGCATTACCAATCAGCGTGAGTCGACTTTGGTTTGGGATCGCAACACGGGCGAGGCGCTGGCCAATGCCATTATTTGGCTGGACAATCGGACCACAAGCACTGTGGAGGAATTGCTGGAAACGATACCGAACAATGCGCGGAACATTAACTATTTGCGGCCACTGTGCGGCTTGCCGTTATCGCCGTACTTCTCCGGCGTAAAGCTCCGCTGGCTGCGCGACAATGTGGCCACGGTGCGCAGGGCCATGGACACGGGCGACGCCATGTTTGGCACCATCGACACCTGGCTGATGTACAATCTGACGGGTGGAGTGAATGGCGGTGTGCACAAGACGGACGTGACAAATGCGTCGCGCACCATGCTCATGAACATCGAGACGCTGCAATGGGATGCCAATCTGTTAAAGTTCTTTGGCCTGCCCAATAGCATACTGCCGGAGATCTGCTCGAGCGCCGAGCACTTTGGCACGATTGCGGCCGGCGTACTGCGGGGCATCAGCATTACGGCGGATCTGGGTGATCAGCAGGCGGCGCTGGTAGGTCAGCAGTGTCTGGTCAAGGGCCAGGCCAAAGCCACATACGGCACCGGCTGCTTTTTGCTCTACAATACGGGTCCCTCCATAGTGCACTCACAGCACGGCCTGCTGACCACTGTGGGCTATCAGCTGGGACGCAAGGCGACGCCCTACTACGCGCTGGAGGGCAGCGTCTCCATAGCTGGCGCCGCCTTCAATTGGCTGCGCGACAACATTGGACTCATTCAGAATACGGCCCAGATTGAGTCCATGGCCAGCCAGGTGGACAGCTCGTTGGATGTGTACTTTGTGCCCGCCTTCAATGGGCTGTATGCGCCCTACTGGAATCAGGATGCACGCGGTGTGCTCTGCGGCCTCAGCGAGGAGACGACCAGTGAGCATATTGTCCGCGCTACGCTGGAGGCGGTTTGCTTCCAGGTGCGCGACATACTCGACTCCATGCACAAGGACTGCAAAATTCCGCTGGCCAAGCTGATGGTCGATGGCGGCATGACCGTCAACAATCTGTTCCTGCAGCTGCAGTCCGATCTCGTCGGCATTCATGTGCTGCGCGCCAAGATTGCAGAGACCACAGCGCTGGTAGGTTCAACTTATAGAAATGCATGCATGCCAAACGAAAGCCAGTTCGGATACTCGAGTAGCGTTAATCATGTTCGACCGCACATGTTTGCCTCGAACATGTTGCTTACTCGAATAGCTCGAACTTTGTTTCGTGAATAGGAAGTATCCTAACCGATGAAGAGCTATAATCCCATCTTGGTCCACTTTTAATTCATTTTTCTATCTGTTCCAGGGCGCTGCGATGGCCGCCTACAAGACGGTGGCGCCCCAGTACAACATGGAGGGGCCACTCTCCAAGTCGGAGGAACGCGAGGCCGTCAAGCCGAAAATAAATTCCACGGAGCGTAATTTGCGCTATCAGAAATGGAAAATGGCCATTGAGCGTTCCCTGAACTGGGAGACGTCCACGCTGGCGCAAGGCGAGCGCGGATCCTTTGATGGTGCCTAAAGTGGGGCGCAGTACCCAATCGCAAAGCCATGGCAATATGTTTCTTAATTGAATAAAATTTGTTTTCATTTGTTTAATAATTGGAGCAGGCGTGAATTTCCGGACAACTCCATACTGGTGAGTTAAGTGTGCTCGAATAGCAGTTACCCTACATTTATAACTTTTATTTTGCAATTCATATTCCTAACTTTTTTGAACAACTCGAAGTTATTTCCTTGGCAGGGTATATTTAGGTTTTTGTTTTATTTTGGATAGTGTATACAAAATTTTGGATTTAAAACGTACAAAGCGTTGTTCTGGGTGCGTGCAGCTAAGGAGATGGCAGTGTATATATCCAGCCCTTGGGGCGATCTCTACACATGTTCATCAACAATGCCCGGCGCAGCAACCGCTGCGGCTGCAAGCTCCAGTTCGTTTAACATGACGACGCCGCCGGCGGCTTCATCGACCGCAACAACGGCGGCTACAACGTCGGCGGGAACGCCAATGTTAACCATGCCCATGGCCGGTGCGCCCAGATCAACATTGTGTGCTTGAGCATTGACCACGGCTACGGCGGGCGGCGGTATGGGATTGCCACCTGAAAGTAGCAGGAGAACAGTTAGAAAAATCAGGCACAGAAGCAGTTGGAGTATACGCACTTGCATCTAATTCGAGCGGCGGATCGGCATTCGCCTCGGCGAGATTCGTAACAGACTTGGACTTGACACACTGAAAATCGACATGACGACTCTTGGCCTCCTCCTTCTCCCAAGACATATGTATGAACGGACGCTGAACATAGCTGTAAATGACCTCAGCACGGCCGCCGGGCCTGCGGCGTATCTTCTCCTTGTGCGTGGGATAGCCCTCAATGCCGCAGCGTATCTTCTTTAGACCGCGATCCTTCATCACCTGCTTGGCCACATCGCGATTCTCAATGTACTTGAAGAAACGATGCATCGCAGTGCTATGCACAGCTGCAGCAAATGTGGAATTAAGGGACTTAGTAGATGTACATAATAATGGTAATCATGACCTACTCTGGCAATACTCCTCGCCCATTTGCGGAGGGAACTCTTCATCCCAGTCGACCATGTCGTCGTCGAGCAGCACAACGACATGGCATTCGCGATCGCCGCGCTGCGCTGAGGCGACCATTAGCGGCAATATCAGATCCTCCAGAAAGACCTCAAACTGTTGGCGGGCACCCTCGTTGCTCAGCTCATGGAGCAGGCCTCCTTTGTGAGAAACAGAGGCGTGTGTGTGTGTCAGCATGGCAGAGGGGGTGGTAAAGACAAACGAGAGGGAGAGGAGAGCAAAGTAGACGGCATTTGACTAAGAGGTAGAGCCCTGCATCGGTTAAATCATTTACATCAAACTCGGAAACTCAATCGAACCGACAGCAACAAGTTCGAGCCAACTTTTTGTGTTCAAGTTCGACTGAACCGAATATCGAACACAGGAAATACGAAAAGAAAGACGTTTCGGTTGACTCGATGCAGGTCTCTACTGAGAGACGCTCCCGCAATCTGTAATACTCACTTAGATTCTGGCAGCGCACAGTGGTCGCGTCGAAGGGTATCAGCAGATAGTCGCAGGCCTCCTTCAGCTCCGGCACCGATACGGTTGGCGGGCAGCGTATAACACCGCTCTTGTAGTATTCGAGTATGGAGCGGAACACCAAATGGGAGATGCCATCGGCCAGTTCGTATTCGCCGCGCTCATTCGGATGCACACACTGAAACCCGGTGCCGAACATGGTGCCCAGCATGGTATTGGGATGGGCTGTGAGCAGCGTTTGCTCAACGGTGAAACGCACGCCGTCCACCAGCATGCAGATGCGTTCGGGCGGACCCAGACGCGCAGCAGCAGCAGCAGCCGCTGCAGCAGCGGCGGCGGCAGCGGCAGCGCTGCTCGTAGTGGGCGTCATGGATTTGTCATGCTTGGAGATGGCGCCGCTGCTGACGCTCATGGCGCTGTGCTGCTGCTGCTGCCGTTGCATGTAGGTGCTGCTGCGACTGCGATTCTTTAGAATGCGCCGTCTGCGCTCCTCGGCAGCCTCAAGATTCTCCTCGATGCTGCTGCTGTCACTGTATGTGTCGTGTTGTTGTTGTTGCTGTTGTTGTTTTTGCTTATTACTGTTGCTATTGTTGTTGTTGCTGTTGTTGCTACCACTACTATTCGAATTTGGAGTTGTTGACATTTTTCGGAATTTATTTGGCTGGCACTGCGTCGTGCACTCGTTTTCAAAAAATCACTCGAAACTCAGATTATTCTAGCAAACTGCAGACAAAGAAATGCATTTGCATTTGGCGCTGTTCTTAAATGCCAGGCTGCGTGTGTGTCGACGGGCTTCTCTATAAGCTTATCGTTTGTTAAATCTATAAGTCGCAATTACTATTTTTTTTTTGTTGTCTCCTTACATTATTTTATGATGTAAAAAAAACTTTTGTGCGAACTGTTTTTTTGCGCTTCTGTATTCTCTTCCTTTGCTGCTTTATGTTGGTGGTTGACTCTCATTCGATAACCAATTGTGAGTGACATCGGCGCGGACATCGGAACTCCACTTTTATTTCAATGAGCCGCCCGACAGGCGGCCTAACTGACAACAATACATAACGCACACACAAATATGAAAATTCGTTGATTTTTCACGCATAGACTAGCTTTTCTCTAACGAAATATTATTAATTAAATATGAGTGAGTAGTGATTGGTAGCAATATCGGTTCCCGGAGCCAAAGGCTGAAACTGGTTTCGATAATTTTAAATTGGGAACTAGCATTGACTAGTGCCGATATCGATAATCGATTCCGGTACAGCTCTAATAATCGATAAGCCGAAAAGCAAAATGGCAGACGTAGAAAAGGAAACCGAGAAGAAAATCTTGTAAATAATCCGTAAAAAAATTGCATATTTGTCGCAAACATTATGCCAATTGCGCGAAACGCGAGTGCATAATAAACGCAACGTGCAATTCGTTTGCTACGTCCATTTTAACCACTAGCAAGTGCTCGCGTGTGTGTCTGCGGCGGCAAAAGCAAAGCCCAGAGAGTAATATATCCCAATCAAAATTCGCTCGAACGCGACAACCAAAACAGGCAAACAAAGCAACAAATGTGGCGACAATGCCAACTAGCGGGCACGGGCATCATTTGAAATACATTATAAAAATGTGCAATTTCCAAAAACAAATAATATTACTACAATAAAAAGTAAGAAAAAAAAATAGGTGCAAAAACGTCGAATCGAATGTGTGTGTATGAAAGAGGGGGGGCAGCAGTGCGCTGAGGAGCGGAAGAGACGTTTGCACAAAAGCTGACGGCTGCAGCACGCACGCCAACACTATCTCGCTCGCACCAGTGCCGCAAATGCGCGCGCCCTTAAAACGAGCGTGCGAGATAGACGGATTTTGGGATGGCATTTAATGTTTGCGTTGCAAAGCGTTCAGCTTTTGTTTAGCAAACTCATTTTGCTCTTTTCCTTTGCACTGGCAGTTTCAGTTTTTTTTTTTCCTTTTTCTCTTTTTTGTGTATTTTTTGTGACGAAAAGCGCATAGAAAATGTACAACAAAAAAGTTTGCAAAACGAAAATTGGTAGTTGAAAATGTTAATTTTATGAACTGATCTCCATTTAGACGCGCAGTGAGCAGAAAACTTTAAGAAAACACACACACAAGGTGCGTTGCAATAACAAAAATACGCAAGTGAAGGCGCGACGACGAAGAAGAACGCAAAAAACAGACGAAATACACAGCGAAAACAAACGCGGGGAGGGGGAGCGGCAGCGCGCATTATTGCTCCGAGCAGTGCACGGCACAGACTGCAAAGTGGCGGCGCTACTCGGGATTAGTGCTGGTGCAGCGGCAGCGGCGTCCATGTTAAACGGGCGGCAGCAGCAGCAGCACAACAACAACAACAACAAACATACCAACAACAACAGCAGCAACAATAATAATAATACAATTTATAACAACAACAACAAGCAGCAGCAGCAGCAACAACAGCCGGCGGTGTGGTTGTGGTGTCGCCAATTGTGGCCTTAAGCATGTAGTAAGACTATTGATGCAACAATTTGAAACATTTATTAATATACCTACCCCCCCTCCCCTCACCCTCACCTTAACCCTCTACAGGTCGCACTTGGCACAGTCGAGCAGCAAACGCGTGCGGTCTAGGTGAACCTCTCAGCAGCAGGTTCCAGTAGACAAACCCATCAACAACAACAACCACAACAACAAGAACACACACATATATACACAAAGTTAAAGAACACACAAAACGCAACACCAATGAAAAATGTCACAAAGAGGTAAACGCGGTAATCAGCAGCAGCTGCAGCAGCAGCAACCGCCGCAACAGCAGCTGCGTCAAGATGTTGAGCCGCAGCCGCCGCCCACAAAGCGACGCAAAGGACGACCACCCAATGGTGCGCCGGCAACAGCAGCCGCAGCAGCAGCAGCGTCAACAACTGCAACAGCAACAGTTGCAGCTGCAACAACAACAGTTGCAGCCGCAGCAGCAGCAACAGTTGCAGCGCTGGAGCAAGCGGAACACGGCCAGGCCAAGTCCACGTCAAAGCTGCCGGGCAAGGCCAAGTCGGCCAGCAAATGTAAAGCGCAAAGCAACAACAGCAACAATAGCAACAACAACAGCAGCAACAATAACAACAACAGCAGCAGCAGCAGCACCTGGCAAGCGCGCTCCGTGGCCGATATCAAAATGTCGAGCATCTACAATCGTAGCTCAACCGAAGCGCCAGCTGAACTCTATCGGTGCGTATAAACCACAATTCGAGCCTGATCTAGAAACTAATTAGCGATTTTCTTAAAATTTACAGCAAGGATCTCATTAGCGCAATGAAATTGCCAGACTCAGAGCCGTTGGCCAACTACGAGTATCTGATTGTAACCGATCAATGGAAACAGGAATGGGAGAAGGGCGTACAGGTGCCTGTCAATCCCGATTCGCTGCCTGAGCCGTGTGTCTATGTGCTGTCCGAGCCGATTGTGTCGCCAGCGCATGACTTTAAACTGTGAGTAGAGCGTAAAATCGAAAGAAAAACTATAATGTCTGGTAAAAGCTTGATCCGGCTAAGCTAGATATTCGCTTAAAAGATATCTCAAAGCAAGGGAAAATGATACAGCGTATCAATACTGTTGTTGAGAAGATCTGAGATGAGGCGACAAGCTCTGAACTCAGATGCTTCAGTAAAATGGTAGAGTTTAACTGAAAAGAAAACTATAACTTCTAGTAAAAGCTGGACAGAATTCAAGTAGTCCTCTGCCTTTTTGTGCAACGGCTAAGGTAGATGTTCGTTTAGTAGATATCACAAAGTAATCTAATAATAATAGTCAAATTAGGGAAAATAATGTAGCTTGGCAATACTCGTGCTGAAGAAGCACTGCTCTGAGCTTGAGGGAGACAAACCCTTAACTCAGATGCCAGCTCCTATCCCAGGCATATTTGTTACGTCTTTAACTGAATAGACGGATTGCTCTTCTATGAGTTCCATTTGTTTTTTTTTCTTATTAGTCTGTCAATTGATTAATTATAAATTTATATAAAATTTAAAATTCTTGCTGATTTGAACCAGCAACCTGCTGCTCTTCTAGCCACGTGATGCAATCTTCACCATGTTTTGACTCACTTATTGTTTTAATATCTCATTTTTCCCCTAAAGAAAGCTTCAGTAAAGTTTTCAGCTTCGTAGTTCTTACAGTTTGAGCCGTGGATGGATCAAAAGTCAGGACAAATAATAAATACACAAAAATAACATTATTTAATAATAGTTTAGCCATATAATATATATTTTTGGATATTTATATAACTTGCTCTTTTGCAGTCCAAAAAATCGTTTCCTGCGCATCACCAAAGACGAACATTATTCGCCGGACCTGCATTGTCTGACGAATGTAGTTGCACTGGCGGAGAACACATGTGCCTATGATATTGATCCCATAGATGAGGCCTGGCTGCGTCTATACAATGGCGATCGTGCCCTCTGCGGCGCCTTTCCCATTAACGAAACGCAGTTCGAGCGCGTCATCGAGGAGCTGGAGGTTAGCTAAAACCAGATAAAACGTAAAGCAGGAGGCAAAACTAATGTATAATATTTTGTAGGTGCGCTGTTGGGAGCAAATTCAGGTCATACTTAAGCAGGAGGAGGGTCTGGGCATTGAGTTTGATGAGAACGTCATCTGTGATGTTTGTCGCTCGCCCGACTCCGAGGAGGCCAACGAAATGGTATTCTGTGATAATTGCAACATCTGCGTGCATCAGGCTTGTTACGGCATTACAGCGATTCCATCAGGTAATCCAGCTACGCAATATCCATGAAATTCGATTGCTCACTGAACAAATTGCTTTTGCAGGCCAATGGCTTTGTCGCACCTGCTCCATGGGCATAAAGCCGGAGTGTGTGCTCTGTCCGAACAAGGGCGGCGCCATGAAGTCCAATAAATCGGGCAAGCATTGGGCGCATGTCTCGTGCGCCCTGTGGATACCGGAAGTGAGCATTGGATGTGTCGATCGCATGGAGCCAATAACAAAAATCTCAAGCATTCCGCAAAGTCGCTGGGCACTGATCTGTGTGCTGTGCCGCGAGCGCGTCGGCAGCTGCATCCAGTGCTCGGTGAAGACCTGCAAGACGGCCTATCACGTGACCTGTGCGTTTCAGCATGGCCTCGAGATGCGTGCCATCATTGAGGAGGGCAACGCCGAGGACGGTGTCAAGCTGCGCTCCTATTGCCAAAAGCACAGCATGAGCAAGGGCAAAAAGGAGGGCGCCGCATCGAGCCATCACACAGCCGCCTCCAGCTGCATGCAAAAGCACAACAACAAGTTCTCGAGCAGTGCGACAGCTGCGGGCGATGACGCGGGCCACACAACAACGGGCGCCAAGGGCGAGGATCATCGCAGGCGCAAAAATCATCGCAAAAACGACATGACCTCCGAGGAGCGCAATCAGGCGCGCGCTCTACGTTTGCAGGTAAATTTTAGAGAGTTTATTAATAAGAGCCCCGCATCGTGTCAATCGAAACGTTACCCGAACCCTTAATTCGATCATTTATTTGGCTAGAGCTTTACGTGGTGTTCAGCATATCAGCTTAAGCTCGAATCATCCGATTGCCTGCCTAGAAATTCGTTTCGTGAAAGCCACGTTGAGCTTTATCGCATATAGTTTCAAATTTTTCGAGTGTCCGTTCTAGTGAAAAACTGGCATCCACCAAAAATGCTTACATAAATCTAATGATTGTGACTCAAAAAATGTATTCTTTGTGGCTGAGACTCCCTCAAATGTCCAATTATAATTCCGAGTTACCTTCAAACCTATTTGGAGGCCTTTTCGGATACACGTCTTGTCGGGTTAGCCCGAATATTCCGATGACTCAAAAGTTAAATTATAATTCCGAGTTGGAGACAGTTCGCTGCAAACCCGGTTGGATGCATACCCATATTGTCGCACAACAAACTATCCGTTAGCCCGAATATTTCAAAACACAAAAGTTAAATTATAATTCCGATTTGGAGACAGTTCGCTTCAAACCTAATTGGAGGCCTTATCGGATATACGTATTGTCGTCCGATGACTCAAAAGTTTAATTATAATGCAGAGTTCGAGATAGTTCGAATGAAACCTGATTGGAACCTTGATGCAAACATGTCTTGTCGCACAACAAATTAAATTGAACTTCGTTTGTTACGAATACTTTTGGGATTGGCAAGTTGCTTCAAACATGTCGGAGTTCGATGTTCGAGAGTTCGAGTCAGTCGGTTCGATTGAGTAGCCGAGTTTAATGCACAGCAATTAAACGATGCAGGACTCTTTTTGGAATTGAATGCTGCGTTTCTTGATACTTAAACAATTTTGGTTTGTTTTAATTGCCGCAGGAGGTTGAGGCGGAGTTCGATAAGCACGTGAATATCAATGACATTAGCTGCCATCTGTTCGATGTGGACGAGGATGCAATCGAGGCCATTTACAATTATTGGAAACTGAAGCGCAAGTCGCGACACAATCGCGAACTGATACCGCCCAAGTCCGAGGACGTGGAGATGCTGGCGCGCAAGCAGGAGCAACAGGATCTGGAGAATCACAAGCTCGTGGTGCATTTGCGACAGGATCTGGAGCGTGTACGCAATCTGTGCTACATGGTCAGCCGGCGCGAGAAGCTCTCCCGCTCGTTGTTCAAGCTGCGCGAACAGGTCTTTTACAAGCAGCTCGGCGTGCTCGACGAGGCAGTGCAGCAGCAGCAGCAGCAGCAGCTCGTTCCAACGGAGCAGCAGCAGCCGCAGCAGGCGCAGAGACCCGCCCTCGACACGGATGCCATTATCTATGCAAACGATGGGCCCACGCTGTACGATAGCTTCTATAGCTCAACGGATCAGCTAACTGTGCCGGCGCAGTATCGGAGCCTGGACTATATATTGGAGCAGCTGATGGGCAGGAAGCAGGTACGTGGACGCGCCTCGCAGTCGCCCAACAAGCGCAAGCAGGCGGCCGCCGCTGCGCTCAAGTCCTCGCCCAAAAAGAAGCTCAACAATGGTGCAATATCAACAAATACAACAGCAACAACATTGGCCCAGAAGGCCGCCAAGCCACGTGGCTCGCCAAGGGCGCCGACGACAACGGCGTCCACGGCGATGCCGTGTGCGGGGAGGCGTGCCTCGAAGAGCGGGCCGGCCGCGGCGGCGACGTCGAGCCAACAGCATAAGTCACATAAATCCACAGCTGCTGCTGCGTCCGCCGCAACGTCTAGCGGCAGCTCGTCATCGGCTGATTCCAGCTCGGCGCGCAGCAGCAGCGCCAGCGCCAGCAGCAGCAGCTCCTCCGACTCCGGCAGCGCCAGCGGCAGCGAGTCCAACAGCGATAGCCGCGGCTACCACGGCAACAAATCCCAGCCAGCTGCTGGAGCAGTCAGAAAGCAATCCTATGCGCGCAGCGTTGAGCAGCGGCAGAGGCAGCGACAGCGGCGTCAAAGTGAGGCGGCTGCGTGTGCGTCTGCAGCGTCTGCGGATGCGCGGACCAGCTGCAGCAGTTCCTCCAGCGACGACGACGACGACGATCGGGCGAGAGCACGGGCACGGGCCAGAGAAAGGGAAAGGGAGCGGGAGCGAGAGCGTGAGCGTGTCAAGCGTCAACAGAAGTCAACAGCAGTACCTGCCAAATGCCAAGCAACTAAGTCAAAGCACAGCGAAGGATCCCGCCCAACGGGAGCGGGAACGGTCGCGGGATCCGGCGCAGCGCGCAGAAAACAAGCTGCCAGCAATGGAGGCGGAGCCAGTGCAGCGCCCACTGGAGCGACGCGTGGCCTTGCTCAGATGGACAAGGAGATGCGGCAGCAGGAACCGGGCAGCATGTCCAGCGATGAAAGTGAGGAGCTGCTGCCTGTAAAGCACGCCCGGAGCACAACAAACAGCCGGAACACAAGCGCCACGGCAGGAAATCTTGCTGCGGCGGCTGCGACGGGTGCGACGGCGACATCGGCCATGCGCAAGATGGGACAACACATCTACTCCGACTCGGACAGCTCGACGACAACGACGCCGGAGCGCGAGGCGGCAGAGCAGCAGCATCGAACGGAAACGGAGGCGGAGCAGGCGGCGACGGAGAGCAATGTGAGCGATTCACAAAATCAGCAAACGATACGCACCAAGGCGGCCATGAAGGAGTTCGTGCCGGGCACAACTCCAACTGCAGCAACTGGAGCGCAAAACAAATCCAAAGCCAACGCCAAGTCGAACAGCGGCAAGGGGAGTGCCGCGCCCGTCTTCCCGCCCGTGGACCTGCTCGTCGTGCCGCAGCGGCAGGCGGCCAAAAAGGCATCCGAGAACATGCGCAACTCGACGAATCTCGCCACGGCGATGCTACCGGATGCCAGCGAGCGGCTGCGCGAGCCCGAGCCAAGTCCAGCCAATGCCAACGCCAGCAGCGGCAGCAGCAAAGCCAAGGATGAGGCGGAGAAGGCGCGGCTCAAGGAGCTGCCCAAGACGGCGGCCAAAACGACGGGCGAGACCAGAGCGGAGCGAGGCAAGCGCGGCCGGCCGCCCAAGCAGCAGAAGGAGAAGGAAAAGGAAAGGGAGAAGGAGAAGGAGCGGGAAAAGGAGAAGGAGCGGGAAAAGGAGAAGGAGCAGCAGGAGAAGGAGCGAGAGCGGGAGCGGGAGAAGCCAAAGGAGAAGGAGAAGCCCACGCCAGCGCCCACGCCCAAAAATAATGAGCTGGCCAAACTGGGCAACTTTGCCGTCTCCTATGTGCCTCAGCGTCAGGCAGCCAAAAAGGCCGCCGAGCAGCTGAAGAGCAGCGGCGCAGCCCTGGCTAAAGCCACGCAGGAAACCATTGCCAGCGAGGATGCAGTCGGAGCAGCAGCGGGAACAAGCACTGGAGCAGCTGCAGCTACCACGACGACGCCGCCAAGCAGAGCAACTGCATCTACGACGACGGCGACGCCTCCAAGCAGAGCAGCTGCATCCAAGCAGCAGCAGCAGCAGACGACGCCCTTGCGACGCGGCTCGCAGCTGCGGCGCTCCAAGGAGGAGCAGACGCCCGTCAAGCGACGCATTGCAGCGCCCAATCTGTCCAGCTCCAGCTCTGGCGAGAGCAACAGCTCCAGCTCCGGCGAAAGTAACTCCAGCAGCAGCGCCAGCAGCAACTCGAGCAGCGGCAGCGACTCCGACAGCGACAGCGAGCCGGAGAAGCGCAAGGCAGCAACGGCTGCAGCTCCAGCTTCAGCTCCAGCTCCGGCAGGAGCAACAATTACCTCCAGCTCTAGCTCCAGTGTGCCAAAGCGTTCGCCGCGCAAATCCCTGGACAAACCCGCAGCAGCAGCAGCAGCAGTTCCTCCGCCGCCTCCTCCTCCTCCGCTGGCCAGCCGAACGCGTCAGAATTCCACCAACAAATCGCCAAAGAGAACGCCGCAAAAGCCAGTTCCAGCACCCACCCAGGAGCTAGTGACGCCGCCGGCGCCGCCTAAAGCCTCCACACAGCGTCGCAAATCCTCGCTAGACGATGCGTCGCCGGCGCTGAGCAAACGTGCCACGCGCAATTCCAAATCGCGACCGCCCTCGCCGGCGCCGGCGCCGGCGCCGACGCCCGAGAAGCTGGCGAGCAATCGGCGTAAATCTCGCGCGGAATCGCCGAAGAAAACGCCGCCAAATCTGGAGCATGAGATAGCGCAGCGCAAGGCGGCAACGGGCGGGCGGGCGACCAGTGCGCTGGACAAGCTGCTCGACAAGAAGCAGCAGCAGCTCAACAATGCCACGCCCGCGCCGACGACCACGCCTACAATAACACGGGTGCCGACGCCCACGCCCACACCGACGCCGACGCCGCCTCCTCCGAAGCCAAGAAGTCCTCCACCGGAACCAGCAGCAGAGGATCGTCTGGTCAGTAGTCCAACGCCGCCCGCGGCGCAGGAGGCCGGCGAGCAGCCGATGGACATTGACGAGGAGCTAACGACGGCGCCGACGCACACCCAGCTCTCGGCGAATGCTAGCAAATTGGCCGAGCTCTCGGCGGACATTGATGAGCGACCGCCGGCGGCGCCGTTGCCCGCCTCGCCGACGCCGACGCCCTCCAACGATGAGCTGAGCGACGATGAGCGATCGGGCAGCGATCGCAGCCGATCGGACAGACGTCGCGGCAATCGCTGGCGGCGCCGTCGGAGACGCACGCGCGACGAGGACGAGGAGGAGCAGGAGCATACGCATCACACGCAGCATCTGCTCAACGAAATGGAAATGGCCCGCGAACTGGAGGAGGAGCGCAAAAATGAGCTCCTAGCGAATGCGAGCAAATATTCCGCGTCCACATCCTCGCCGGCGGTTACCGTTATTCCACCAGAGCCGCCAGAGATTATTGAGCTGGACTCGAACTCGAATTCTGGAGAGCAGCAGCAGGTGCAGCAGGCGCAGCAGGTGCAGGCGCACGATTCCCTGTTGCCAGTGGTGCCATCGGTGCCATCGGTTCCCGCGACGCCCTCGTGCAGCGCTTTGGAGCTGGATGCGGCACATCAGCCGATTGTGGACGCCATCCTGGAGCTGGAGGACAGCAAATACGCCAACAGCTATGCCTCCAGCCTGGCCAGCAGCGTCGCCAATGTGCTCAATCCGCCCAACTCGGGACGCCTCACGAGCCTGCTGGGCACCAGCCTAGGGGGCGGCGGGAGCAAGCAGATCTTCGAGGAAGACAGCACGCTGGCCACGCGGAATCTAGTCGAGAAGCTGCGCAAAACGAAGCGCAAGGCGCAGCTGGACGAGTGCAAGGACACGATGGATCTGCTGCCGCCCACGCCAGCTATTCCCTCCGTCTTTCCGTTTCACAATGCAGCTGATCCCGAGGATGTAATACACGTGCAGAAGGAGCTGCAGCAGGCGCAGCAGCAGGCGGCGCAGCACCAGAACCTGGTGCTCTTTGGCAGCTCCGCGCCCAACTCCGTGGCCAGCCAGCTGACCATCAAGGATTCCCCGCTGACGGCCAACTCCGGCGGCAGCTATGCCAACAGTTTGACCAACACTCCAAATGCCACGCCCACAACGAATGCAAGCAACAATCTGGGCGGCTACAGCAGCATGGTTAACTATCAGACGGCGCAGGCGGCGCTCAGCTGTTATCTGAACAAGGCATCCGCCTCGCCGCAGCTGCAGCAGCAGCAGCAGCAGAAGAGTAGCAATGGCCAGGGAGCAGGAGGAGGAGCAGGAATGGGAGCAGCAGCAGGAGGAGCTGGAATGGGAGCAACTGGAGCGCCGCAATCCACGCCCGACTTTGTGGATCTGGCGGCGGCAGCTGTCAAGAATAGCCTCAGCAGCTACCCAGGATCAGGAGGCGCAACTGTCCCGCCCGTTCAGGCGAACTCCGGCCTGGTCGCCGCAACCAATTCCCAGGCAAGCAACAACAACAACAAGCTGAGCGATTACGATGAGAACACGCGAATGCAGTCGCCCTTTGGACGGATGCAGCGCTGGAACGAGAACGATCTGATCGCGGCGAGACGCAGCAGTTCGCCCAGCTCCGTGTCCGAGTCGAACGATCAGCCGCCCAGCCTGGACAAGAGCTACTTTAATAGCTATGCAGGAGCGGGAGTGGGAGCGGGAGCGGGAGCACCTGGAATTGGAGCAACTGCAGCCTGCAACAACAACAACAGCGTACCAGGAAGTGGGAGCGGTAGCGGGAGTGGGAGTGGCAGCGGCGCCTTTGGCAGCCACACGCCGCTGGTGAATGGCATCGATGCCATGTCCATGTACAACAACCAGACGCAACAGCCAGTGCAGCCGGTCCAGGCAACGACCACGCCCACACATCAGCAGGCGCAGGCGCAGCGCACGCCCAACAGTCAACAGTATAATGGAGGCATCTATCCACAGCTGGCGGCCATTATCCAGGCGCAGCAGTCGACGCCGGCGGAGAGTCAGACGATCTATGGCAACAGCTCGCAGTCGCAGCCGAGCACGCCCTACGTAACCACTCCCTATGCCACGCCCAATATGACGCTAACGCCCAATCATCAGTATCAGCTGACGCCGCCATATGCCGCCGCCTTGCTGCCCGCCATTATGCAGCAGCAGCAACAACAATTGGAGCAGCAGCAGCAACAGCAGCTGGAGCCAGTGCAGCTGGAAACGGTGCCCGTCCCGGTGGCTGTGCCGGTGCCCGTGCCGCAATCCCTGCCACTGACTGCGCCCGTGCCTGTGCCCAGCAAGGAGCTTATCTCGCCCAGCAAACGCAGCAGCAGCAGCTCCGCCTCCGCCAAGCGGGAGCAGCAGAAGAAGTCGCCGCAGCTACCGCCGGGCAAGTCCCCGGGAAAATCTCCAAGACAAGCTGCCGTCGCCGCGCTGCAGCCGCCCCCGCCTGTGCCCGTGCCACCGTCCGTACCCACGGCCACGCCCACGCCGCCCGCCAAATACGATCCGCTGACGCACACGCTCGCGGGCAAGCTGCGTCAACGTGCGCCACGTGGCAGCAGCAGCGGATCGGGTGCAGCGGGCACGCGTGGACGTGGACGCGGACGCGGTCGAGGGCGGGGCGGCAGCTCGGGCAATGCGATGCTGCCGCTGCCGCCGCCGATGGCGGACTATGGCAGCAACACGCACATTGTCAACAATCTGGTGGGCACGCCGTACGAGTTCAACAACTACGACGACGAGCTGAGCGGATCCGGCGTCGAGAATCTGCAGTCGCTGCGGGATCGCCGGCGCAGCTTCGAGCTGCGCACGCCGGGTGCAGCGCCCAGCACCACCAGCTATGCCAGCTGCAAGCTGCGGGGCCAGAACAAGACGGCGGCCGGGACGACGTCTGCGACGACAACGTCCGCCGCGACATCGTCCGCGACGTCTTCCTCCGCCGCGCCGGCTAATCCGCTGCTGCAGCCTGTGCTGCCCGGCCCGGTCGATATGCGCACCTACAATCTAGGCTTCGAGGCGCCCCACAGCAGCGCCTCCCAGGAGGCCTATCAGAACAATCTGCTCGGCGCCTTCGACTCCGGCACGGCGGATCAGACGCTCAGCGAATTCGACGAGGAGGACGAGCGACAGTTCCAGTCCGCGTTGCGGGCCACGGGCACCACGAGCAGCAGCAGCAACAATCACAACAACAATAACAACAACAATCACAATGGAAATAAGGCAGCGGGAGGAGGAGGAGGCGTCTCTGTCCCATCCCTGCAGCCCAGCCTGCTGCAGGGCGCGCTACTCCACTCGAGCGAGGCCAACCAGGCGGCGCCCACGCTTCTCACGGAACTGCTGCCCGCCGCTGCAGCTGCGGCTGCGGCGCTGGAGGCCTCGTTGGAGGCCACCTCGGAAGAGGTGTCTATAGACTCCGATACGACAACGATGCTCAACACGAAGGCCTCGCTCTCGGATGCACGCAATCAGCTGAAGCTGAAGATCAAGGGACCGCTCGCCTATCCGGATCTGCACTACAGCAGCAGCGTGACGCAAACGAGCTGCCAGCTGTCCACCGGAGCGGGCGGCGCCAGCAGCCTGGTGCAGACACAGGTGCAGGTCCAGACGACGGTCACGGCCAGCAGCGTTGCCACGGGCAGCAGTTCCTCGGCGGCTGCGCTCAGCGTGAGCGGCAATTCACGGCGCATGCGCAAGAAGGAGCTGCTCAGCCTGTATGTCGTGCAGAAGGATACGCTGAACGATGACAGCTCCTGCGGCCTGCCGGCGGCATCCGACAGCCTGCCGCTCGAGAAACTCGACAAGCTGGACGAGGAGCAGCCGGCGACGACGGCAACGGGCGGCAATGCGAAGCGCTTTAAGAAGAACTCGAGCAACAGGGAGCTGCGCGCTTTGGACGCGGCCAATGCCTGCCTTGAGGAGCAGGAGGAGGGAGCTGGTGCCTCGGCCGGAGGAGCAGCAGGAGCAGCTGCCGGCGATGGCCGGCGGCGCAGCGCCTGCAGCTCGGGCAGCGCCACGGACAACGGCAAGACGGGCGCCGCCAGCAGCGCGGGCAAGCGACGCGGACGCAGCAAAACCCTGGAGAGCAGCGAGGATGATCATCACCAGGCGGCGGCGGCGCTGGCGGCGACTGCGCCCAAGCTGAAGATCAAGATACGCGGGCTGCCCAGCGAAGCGCAGGAGCTGGAGCGGAGCGGCGGCAGCGGAACTAGCTACAGCTACGAGATGACGCGACGCGCCTGTCCACCCAAGAAGCGGCTGACGAGCAACTACAGCACGCCTACTCTGGAGGAGATCAAGCGCGACTCGATGAACTATCGCAAGAAGGTCATGCAGGATTTCGACAAGGGCGACGACAACAACAGCAGACGGGAGCTGGCACCGGGCGGCAATGAGAGCCAGCAGCAGGTGCTCAAGCCGAAAAAGGACAAAAAGGACAAGCCCAAGAAGGACAAGAAGGAGAAGAAGCGGCTCAAGCAGCAGCTGCTGCTCCAGCAACAGCAGCAGCAGCAACAGTTGTTCAGCCTGAACAGCTGCGGTGGCAACATCTTGACCAGCACCATGACCACGACGCTGATCGAGAACCGGCTGAGCGCCTCGCCCGGCGAGAAGCCCAAGCTCATACTGCGTATCAACAAGCGCAAGGCGGAGACAACGACCACAATCAGCCTCGATCAGCAGCAGCAGCAGGAGAAGCCGCAGCAGGAGAAGCCGGAGCAGCAGCAGCAGATGGAGGCGCCGCTGCGCCTGAAGATCGCGCGCATTTCCGCTGGCGGTGTCTATGTCATCGGTGCCAAAACGGAGGCCAAGGAGACCGCCAAGCAGCCGGCGCCCACGCCCGCTCCAGCTCTAGCTCCCGCGAGCTCCCCTGCGGAGCTGCCGCTGGTCGCCGCCTCGCCGCTGACCAACAACAGCAGCTTTACGCCGCACTCGCAGAACGCGAATGCGTCGCCGGCTTTGCTCGGCAAGGATGCGAGCACGCCCTCGCCACCCTGCCTGATCATCGATTCCAGCAAGAGTGCCGATGTGCACGATTCCACCTCCTTGCCGGAAAGTGGGGTAGGAGGAGCAGGAGCTGGAGTAGGAGCAGGCGGCGGATCAGGAGCAGCTGTTGCAGCGGTTGCTGTGGTGGGAGCTGCTCTGGGCTCGAGCTCGCCGCTGTGCGTCAATGTGGGCAACTATGATAATAGCAACAATTCCCTGCCTTCAGCCAGCGGCTCCGGCTCCAGCAATTCCTGCAACAGCAATTCGAACAACAATAACAACAACAATAACAATAACAACAACAATGGCAACAACAACAACAACAACAACAACAGCCGCGGCGGCGGAGCTTTACTTCCATTGAAAAAAGACTGTGAGGTTAGATGATAATCATAAAGCCAGCCCACGACCAAGCTATATATACGTACACATATATATAGATATAGAAAGAGAGAAACGATCCAGAGTTCGTTCACTTCCAGCAGCAACAAAGTGTCCTAAAAACTAAATTCAAATCCCAAAACGAAAACTCAGTGTAAAACATTTTCTACAAGCACAACCCAATTTTCCTGCCCCACTTTGAGAAGATTTTGTAAAGAAAAGCACACACCAATCCCGACCTTGTACAGTTAGCTTGTAAGTGCAAAACCTAACCTATAAAAAAAACAAGTTAAATCTAACCTATAAAAAACGAAACCTAACCTATAAAAACCCAAACCGAAAGCTAACCTATAAAAAACGAAACATAACCCTACTTTTGTCCCGTTTTTGTTGTGCACACACCAGATATTAACTATATAGTACTATATACACTATATAACAAATACTAAATCGTAATTGTACATTTTAAAGCGAATTTTATATATATACACACACATATATATATAAATAGAACTGTAGACTAGCCTCTATGTAAAATACTGTATTAAAGTTAAACAACAAACGGAATTCGCAATTATGTTTAGCCTAAATATCAGAGAGTTAAAAGAGAGAAAGGAGAAAAGAAAATGCTCGGTTTTCTAGTTCTAGTTAACCCACTTCCATAAAAAATACCTACTCATAAATGCTAAAATATATAAATATATATATATATATACACATATATATATATATATGTTTTAATTATTTATTAATAACTATTTAAAAAACGAATGACAAACAACAAATGCGCAATGCATCATAATAGAAACCGTAAAACGTAGCAGAAAATTTGTTTAAAAAAATGAAAACTGAAGAAAAACGACAAAAAAAAATCGCAAAAAAAAAACGGAAAAAAGGAAGAAAAAAAAACACTTAAAGTTGTAGCCTGTAGTCATTAATTGTAGTTCTTAGCGAAAATCAAAGTCGGCTGCACCCAATGTGCGGGGGTTGGGAGGGGGCGTGGCCGCAACTAAGTGCATATATAAAAAGCGAACAGCAACATAACCTAGAAATTAAAACGAAAACAACAAAATTACTTTTGAATTGTAATTCCCAAAACGTGTGGAAATGTTTGTATTTTTAGCGTCTAAGTGTAAACGTGTCGAAACTCCAAAAAAAAAAAAAACAAGTTGAGAAAAAAAAAACAGTTGGAAATTATTTTATGGTTATTGTTTTAAATACAATTTTCGAAATTGCAAAACACATTTTCTAAAGACAAGTCAAAAGCACACACGATCATCTTGTATATAAATATATATCTATATATATATATATATATATCTACTATATAGATTTGAAGACTATGCTCGATGTGCTGCGCATTCCAGTTCCAGATGACAAATGCCTCAATACAAGATTACAAAAAGCAACAATTTTTTTCAAAACCCAATCCAAACAAATTTCAAGCACATCGAGCCAAAGTCTGCTATATATACATTTATATATATATATATATATATGTATATTTGTATATGAAGTCAAGTTCAGAGAGTTAATTTAACACGACAAACTATTAAACATAGAAAAAAAGTAAACATACAAAAATATATATTCCAATTATATTCAGAGCAAAACAAAAAAAAATTGTAATTTTTAGAAATATTTGGGAGTTGCAAGATTTACGTATTAACTGTATATAATTGTGTGTGTGTGTTTGTGCGTGTGTGTGTGTGCGTGTGTGTGTGTGCGTGTGTGTGAGAAATGTTTTTTTTTAAATTATTATTACGTTCTAACCTAATTATTAATTAATACTGATTATTAATTTTAAACTGTAGTTTTTAGCAAAAATTTAAATAAAACAAAAAACAAAGCCTTATTTAAAAACAAACAAACAAAAAAACACTTAAAAAACGCCGCAGAAACCCGATTACTTTTCCGATATTTAACTATATAACAATCCAGTATGATATAGCATGAACTGATACTTTCTCGAATTGGCAAAAATGTGGGTAAACTCGACCAGAAATCCATTCAAAACGATTTGTCAATTAAAAGCAAAGATTAACAGCACAGTAAAAGAAATCATAATCTGGAAAAGTTTGCGTTAAAAACGAAACCTAGTTACAAAGTTAGATTGGGTTGGGAATTAACCCGAAATCCAATTAAGAAGTAAGGACATGATATTTTTGGTGCCGTTTTGTACAAATGAAGCAATATACTTTGAACTTGGGCAGGAGGCGATCGTCTAGTTCTTCAGTTGCCTTCTCCATAAGTTTTCGAGACAGCCAGACCAAGTTTTTGCAACAAGTTATAAACAACAAGATTAACATTATATATATATATATATATATATTGACTAAGGAGCCGAAACTTTAAACAAATAATTACTTGAAAGTAAGTCGAGCAACCTCTTAAATATGCCTAAAATTGAAAAAAAAGAAAGAAAACGTTTCTTAAGCAAAAAACACATCAAGAATAGATTTATAAGCAAGCTAGGAAAACAATAAGTATTACTAATGAAATTATTATTATATTATTATGATTATTATTATTATTATTATTATTACATTATTATTATTGCTATGATATAGGTGTTGAACAGGTGGCAACAGTTAGGCTGTAAGTACGTAGGGCTACATAGGGAAATATATAGTGCTAGGGCTTAGTATTAGGGCTAGACGTGCATCTAGTTTGACAATGGGTAACAACAATTCTAGAATTGCCGGTTCAGGTAGGTGTTATATAAGTATATACGAACAATCTAAGCACACATGCCTAGTAAATCCAAATATATAAGTATTGTGTAACATACTAAATATATATAAATATATATATATATATATACACATAAAAAACAACACAAACAAACAAAAGAGAAGCAACTTTTTTTGTATGTTAAATAATTATGAACATGATTTCTACACTTCGATATAGTATATGTAAAAAGGATAATGCTGTAAAAATAAAACCAACAAACAAACAAACAAACAAAACAACCAACCAACTAGTAAAGCTAAGTTGTATTATAAATATGAAAATATAGAAGAAATTATACATAAATTATTAAAACGAAAATATCTTTTACTTACCAACTATATTTTATCTCCTGGTATCCGCGTCCTTTCATGCTATCGATAAATATCGAGTATACTATCGATAAATATCGATTTGCAGATATGTTTTTTAACTAGAAGAAATACACAAAACTTGGACTCTCGTCGAAAGATCTGACTAAGCACGAATTGTTGTTTGTCAAAAACTTTGATGTCTATCAAAACATATAAAATACTAATTCATTTTTTATTTTGAACTTTGCAGCGAAATCTGACATGGATAAGAAAACATTCAGTAATTCGAAAAGCTATACCATTTCAAAATCAGATGTAGTTTACCCGAGATATTACAAAAAAACAACAACAAAAAAGTTCCGATTTTTGAAACGAACGCATTTCTGGATAAAACGTGATGTAAGCCCATGCTTTTTTCTCAAATTTTTTTGTTTTTGTTTTTTTTTTTTTTTTTGAAGGCCAATCTTAACAAGTCCAAAATGGTGTATCATTCCATATTTGGACATTATTTTGGCCGAGATATTACAAAAAATCTTGAAAATAGTTTGACTTTACATCCGGATCGTTTTTGGTCGTAAACTTTAATCCAATCCCTCTATTTGTCATTTTATAGAAGGGAAGCGTACAAATTAAAAAAAGTTTATAACATTCCAAAATCGGTTGTTATTTACCCGAGAAAAAAATCATCATAAAAGTTCTGGTTTTCGAACCACCCCAATTTTGAGACAAAAAAAAGTGACCTAACCCCTTGCTTTTTTGTTGATTTGGGTCAAAATTTAGATTTTCATTGTTTTGATGCCAATCGATAATACTGATCGTTACGAGTCAAAAATGGTATATCATTTCAAAATCGTACAATTTTTCAAAAAAAGGGAGTAAAATTCTAATTTTTTGTTTGTTGGAATTCTTAAGAAAGCCGCTGTTAAATAAGTTTAATAAAGTATGCATAACACCCTTACAGACTCCCACGGGTCAGCAGCTCCTAATAGAAATATAACAGAGTGTTAATTTTGTGAGTGACTCAAGCGGACCGGCGCACAGAAAATCAGCAGGCGAACAAAATTCGAGCGTAAACTAGATGCGCCGCATTGTCAAGCATACACACGCACACAAACACGTGCATGCGCAGCCTGAGATAAGCCGTCAGCTGTGCGTGTGTGTGTTCGCTGTCCATTTTTCGTCTTGCGCTCACGCGCTCACGACTCTTTCTCGCTGCTGATCGCTGATTGGTCCAATCAATAGCTGCTGGCAGCGAAGCTCTCGTCTGCTCGCCCGAGTGCTTTGTTTTATGTGAGCGCCGCTTTTGTGGATCTGCGCAACTTTAGTCTGAGTCAGTGTGGCTCTATTAGGCAACAGGGCATGTTGTTGTTAAGCTGCCAGCGCGTCAGTCTATTAAGCCCGTTATTATTTTGTGAATGCGATGCATAGAAAGATAAGGCCCTAGCACGCAAATACACATACGTACGTGCATATTTGGCGATTCCCTCTGCATAGATATGCATGTTTGGGTAAGTGTTGCTTGCAATTGATATCTACTTATGCCTGCTTGTGTATAATTGCTTATGCGTTATCTAACTTTGAACGTCGCTTACTCGAGTTGCTGTGCGCCGACTTTTGTTCACTTGGCGTGATTTTGTTTTAGTTAAACGGCAGCAGTCGAGTAAGCCTGTTTTAAAAGAGTTATAAGTGCAAATTCTCAAGTAAATGCCATCCTTATCTCTACTATGGCTCGGAAGTAACAAGAGACATAGAAAAAAATCGTTAAATCAAAATCTGAAGAAGTCCATCCAACGTTAAAGTGTTTATTTTATTGTAATTTTCTCAGCACTTCGCAAAAAAGTCGTGGGAGCGCGATCAATAGGAAGATAAGAAATTAATGCAAGCATACACATGCATATGCACATATGCACATATTCTCTCTGCATACATATGTGTGTGTGTATGTAAGCTTGTCTTGTGCGTTATCTAGCTTTGAACAGACTCTCGCCTACTCCAGTTGCTGTGCGCCGTCTTTTATCTGGCAGCAGTCGAGTGAAGTTGTTTGAAAAGAATATAATTAAAAATTCGCATGGTGTACGGACTTGTAAGGGTAAAATCAAAGTTTGAAGAAGTCCATCGAGACTTTCATAAATGTTAATTTTCTCCTCACTTTGCAAAAAAAATTCCTGAGAGCACGATGAAAAAAGTTAATGCAAATATACACATACATCTTTGGCGATTCCCTCTTCAGACATATGTGTGTGTGTGTGTGAGATCTCGCAATTGATATCTACTTATGCTTGAATGTGTATGCCCTCCTATGCGTCGTTAGCTACCTGCGACCGGCGCTTACTCGAGTTTCTGTGCGCCGAGTTTTGTCCGCTTTGCGTCCGCAAGCACACATATACACATACATACATATGTACGTGATGCTCTCTTCTTCTTCATCTGCATATGTGCGAGTGTGTGTTCTTGCAATTCACGTCTACCTATGCATGCTTGTGTAAGCTTTCCTATGCGTTATCTAGCTTTGAACGCCGCTTACTCGAGTTTCTGTGCGCCGACTTTTGTTCACTTTGCGTCCGCGCAACAAAGCTGTTTTAATAAGATTACAAGTGTAAATTCCATTCGGGTCGGAAGTATTAATAGCCGTAAAAACTCGTAAAGTCAAAAGTTGAAGAAGTCCATCGATTTTATAGATTATCAGCAAAGTGTTAAAGTGTTTATTAAATAATTTACAAGCAATCATATACACATGCATACATACATATGTGTGTACACCTTTTTACTTGTGCGGCTCGCAAGTATTAAAAGCCATACAATATTGTATTCTAAAGTTTGACGAAAATGGAATCATAATTTGAATAATTCCATCGATTTTATAGACTTTTACAAATGTTTACGAGCTTATTTTATTGTAATTTTCACCTTCGTAAGAAATTCGTGAGAGTGTGAGAAGATAATGCACAAGCACACATATAAACATACGTACATACATACATACATACATATGTATGCATACATTTGGTGATACTCTCTTCTTTCTCATATATTTGTGTGTGTGTTTATGCTCGCTTGTGCGTTATCTACCTTTGAACTCACTCGAGTTTGTGGATTGCTTGCTCAGTTTTCTGTGCGCCGGCTTTGATCCGTAGTTGAGTGAAACTCTCTGATAATGTTATAAGAAAGTACTCTCGAGTTCACATCGTTCGCATCGGAATTATCAATTGACATGTAATAAAATCGCCTTCTGAGGCGAGTTGCTTAATTATTTCGGCTCAGAAATCTTAGTGCTCTGTCGATTTTGAAGACTTTCAAAGACTTTCATTCCGAAGTTGGACTCAATTAAATCGTTATTAAACGCTTACAAAATACTAATTAATTTTTTATTTTGAATCTTGCAGCCAAATCTGCCAGGAACAAGAAAACCTTGTTTATTTCAAACCCTGGATGTACTCTAAACAAAATCGTATTTAAATTTGGACCAAATGGAAAAGTTGTTGCCAATCTGTGCTGATTAAATCAACATTTTATAGACTTCTGTCGATTTTAAAGTCTCACGAATCCTTAAAGGTATGCCTCTCCAAAGTCGGAAGTTTACAAAACCCAGTATATTCTTCATTTTGTATTTTTCAGCCTAATCTGCCGACGTTCATGGAAAATATATAGTCAACAAATAATTATGTCGATTTTAGATCGAAGGAACCAGTTTCCGCTCATTTATTCCATCTCCCAATGTGGTACTGTGCTTTCTGGACGGGTTTTCTGATCGATCGCCTCCTGTTCGGTATTCTTCTGGGCACGATTATCTATGCTCATCCTGCTGGTGGATCAGCTAATCTTTGCCAGCGGCGCCATTATCGACACCTTCTGGATAATGATACTCGGCGAGTCGCTGGCCATCGCCCAGGACAGCTACGCGGTGCTCTGGCTTAAGGGCAAGGAACGTTTTAAAGGACATGGAGATCATTTGATCAGCAAGTGATCGCTACTCATGGTACCTAGTTGACCAATATATATCCTTGGTTATTGCATATCATGGATGTAGTCCTAGCGAACCTAAAGGACCAAGTTCTTGCAAAACAGGGTCCATAAATATGTATGCTCTTCTTTTACAGCCGCCCGCCGCAACAGTCCCGCTCCGTGAATGGTTTCTAGTTGACTAGCATATCCTTGGTTATGCCATACCATCGATATAGTCCTTTGGAACCTACAGGATCAGATCACTGCAAAATGTGCATTGAAATGGTCCAAAAATATGTATGCTTTCTCTTTCAGGAGCCCTTTTACATTAGCTGCGGCTGCAGCTCTTGCTTAACAGCCGGCTTACAGCGCTCATTTAACATAAAATGCTAATTAACAGCACTCATTTTAATTGAGTTACATTTTTATGAAAACCACTCATCGACCTTCTGAGCATTTATGTTCGCCTGGTATTTCAGTGAAATTTTAGGGCAAATTTGGGGCGTCGCCTCCGACCAGGGCGCCCCGTGACGGTATGCAATGAATTTTTTCGGCCGCAAAAATATTGTACGTCGACCTTCTGGGCATTTCTGTTCGCCTGGTGTTTTTCGGAAATTTTAGCTAAAATTTGGGACCCGGCCGCCGACAAGGGCGCCCCTTTTGGGTATGCAATGAAATTTTTTCGCCAGCTAAAAATATTTGTTGTCGATCTTCTGGGCATTTCTGTTCGCCTGGTATTTTGGCAGATTTTAAGAAAAATGGAGATATGACGTTCCAAAACGACATAACTCCAGCGCCAGCGGTATGCAATGGATTTCTAAAATTTTTAAATAAAAAACAGGAATTTCGCTTTTATTTTAAATTTATTTATGTTTCAATTTATAAAATTGCTGTTTTTTATGCTAATTTTCTTAATTATTTCTCTTAAAATGATACAAAACGAGCATAATTTATAATTTCAGCTTATTGAAACTAAAAATAACTATATCTGACGTAATTGAAGTCCGATCCTGGAAAAATCTGCTTTGTCACTCGTGGAGGTCCTTAGAGGTCCTTTAGTCCTTTGTTTGGCAGTCTGAAATGATAAAAACACATTTAAATGAAACATATAAATAATCATATAAAAACGGAAAATAGGCCATAACTCGGGCATGTCCTTGCAGATTTTCAAAGGACATGCCGCGTTAGGATCGTATAGACCCCCTGCATCGATCTGCATCAAAAAAATATGGGGTCATCTAAGAATCATATGTCTCGAAATTGGACTTGTAAAATTTTTCTCCCAGAGCGCACGGAAATGGCCCGAAAACACAAATCCTTGAATATCTTCAAAACTACAAGGACGATCTTAATGAAATTTGGCCAGTTGGTAGTCCTGGCCAGTACAATTATTTTGACATATGACTCGACAGGATACGCAAGGATATACTGGAGTTATGGCTTATTTTCTTTAACGAAAATCGTCCTTAAAACTTTTTTGTCTGAAGGACTTTCGTCCTTTGGGTTGTTAATTCTTCAATGGGAAGGCGAGGACTATCTACTGGCCAAAGGACATCCCGATAGTCCTTCAAATGGCCAAGTTAGCCCGGAATTTTTCGATTTTGGCCAATTTTGCGACTTACCCCCTAGGATAAATTTCGATGAACTTTTTTGTCGAATTCTGAAAATCCTTGAATGCCAATCGATAGTCCTGCTCCTCGCGAGTCCAAAATGATATATCCTTTCGATATCCTTCGGGATATGGCCGAGTTATGGCTATTTAAAAAATGTCCTTTTTAGAAAATAGGCCATATCTTGGGAACGGCAAGGACGATTTTGTTGTCCTTTGGACAGTTTATGGTCCTTGTTCATACGATTTGTTTGCCACAGAACTTGTCAGGATCTGCAAGGATACGGCCGAGTTATGGCTTAGTTAATTTTCGAAAGAATTGTACTCATATCTATGCTGTCTAAAGGACTATCGTCCTTTTTATTACATATTCTGAATTGGGAGGATGAGGACTAACGGTTGGCAAATGGACATCATGATCAGCAAGGATACGGCCGATCTACAGCCTTTTATCTTTACAGACAAAAATCTCGTTTCCACAGCTCCTTGAAGGATTTTCGTCCTTTTGATTACAAATTCTAAATAAGCGGGACAAGGCCTACATGTTGGCTAAAGGACATCAGCATGGTCCTTAAGGTGGTCAATTTAATGTCCTTTAAAAAGATCACACAAGCCATAAGGACAACTTTGATGTTGTTTGGCCAGATGTCCTTGTCCGTTCGAGGTATTTGACACAGGACTCGTCAGGACGAAATTTATCCGAAATATTCGAAAAAAGTTATCAAAAAAAGTGAGACGTAAATATTTACATTTTCTTTTTTTAATCAAAAATCAATCAAAAATGGTATATTATTCCAAAATCTGAATTTGTTTGGCCGAGATATTCCGCAAAAACTTCAAAAAATGCTGACTTTAAAAACGAATCGTTTTTTGGTCAACAACTTTTTTTAAGCCAATTTAAGCCGATTTTTAATTTGTTGATTTTGAAAACGAATCGGTTTTTGGTCAATTATTTTTTGTAGCCCATCGATATTGAATTTCTTTGAATGCCAATTGATAGTAGGGATCCGTACGGATTAAAAAAGGTATAACATTTTAAAATCAGACGATTTTTACCGGAGATATTCAAAATAAATCATCGAAAAAGTTTTGATTTGTAAACTGACCTCGATTTTGAAAAAAAACGTGATGTAACCACTTGATTTTTGGTCGATTTTGGTCAAAATTTAGATTTTTATTTTCTTGATGCCAATCGATAGTACTGATCCTTACGAGTTCAAAAAGGTATAAAATTCCAAAATCTGACATTATTTGGCCGACATATGCCAAAAAATCATCAAAAAAGGTTGATTTTGAAAACGAATCGGTTTTTGGTCAATTATTTTTTGTAGCCCATCGATATTGAATTTCTTTGAATGCCAATTGATAGTAGGAATCCGTACGAATTAAAAAAGGTATAACATTTTAAAATCAGACGATTTTTACCGGAGATATTCAAAATAAATCATCGAAAAAGTTTTGATTTTTGAACCGACCTCGATTTTGAAAAAAAACGTGATGTAACCACTTGATTTTTGGTCGATTTTGGTCAAAATTTAGATTTTTATTTTTTAGATGCCAATCGATATTACTGATCCTTACGAGTTCAAAAAGGTATAAAATTCCAAAATCTGACATTATTTGGCCGAGATATGCCAAAAAATCATCAAAAAAGGTTGATTTTGAAAACGAATCGGTTTTTGGTCAATTATTTTTTGTAGCCCATCGATATTGAATTTCTTTGAATGCCAATTGATAGTAGGGATCCGTACGAATTAAAAAAGGTATAACATTTTAAATTCAGACGATTTTTACCGGAGATATTCAAAATAAATCATCGAAAAAGTTTTGATTTTTGAACCGACCTCGATTTTGAAAAAAAACGTGATGAAAGGTATAAAATTCCAAAATCTGACATTATTTGGCCGAGATATGCCAAAAAATCATCAAAAAAGGTTGATTTTGAAAACGAATCGGTTTTTGGTCAATTATTTTTTGTAGCCCATCGATATTGAATTTCTTTGAATGCCAATTGATAGTAGGGATCCGTACGAATTAAAAAAGGTATAACATTTTAAAATCAGACGATTTTTACCGGAGATATTCAAAATAAATCATCGAAAAAGTTTTGATTTTTGAACCGACCTCGATTTTGAAAAAAAACGTGATGTAACCACTTGATTTTTGGTCGATTTTGGTCAAAATTTAAATTTTTATTTTCTTGATGCCAATCGATAGTACTGTTCCTTACGAGTTCAAAAAGGTATAAAATTCCAAAATCTGACATTATTTGGCCGAGATATGCCAAAAAATCATCAAAAAAGGTTGATTTTGAAAACAAATCGGTTTTTGGTCAATTATTTTTTGTAGCCCATCGATATTGAATTTCTTTGAATGCCAATTGATAGTAGGGATCCGTACGAATTAAAAAAGGTATAACATTTTAAAATCAGACGATTTTTACCGGAGATATTCAAAATAAATCATCGAAAAAGTTTTGATTTTTGAACCGACCTCGATATTGAAAAAAAAACGTGATGTAACCACTTGATTTTTGGTCGATTTTGGTCAAAATTTAAATTTTTATTTTCTTGATGCCAATCGATAGTACTGATCCTTACGAGTTCAAAAAGGTATAAAATTCCAAAATCTGACATTATTTGGCCGAGATATGCCAAAAAATCATCAAAAAAGGTTGAATTTGAAAACAAATCGGTTTTTGGTCAATTATTTTTTGTAGCCCATCGATATTGAATTTCTTTGAATGCCAATTGATAGTAGGGATCCGTACGAATTAAAAAAGGTATAACATTTTAAAATCAGACGATTTTTACCGGAGATATTCAAAATAAATCATCGAAAAAGTTTTGATTTTTGAACCGACCTCGATATTGAAAAAAAAACGTGATGTAACCACTTGATTTTTGGTCGATTTTGGTCAAAATTTAAATTTTTATTTTCTTGATGCCAATCGATAGTACTGATCCTTACGAGTTCAAAAAGGTATAAAATTCCAAAATCTGACATTATTTGGCCGAGATATGCCAAAAAATCATCAAAAAAGGTTGAATTTGAAAACAAATCGGTTTTTGGTCAATTATTTTTTGTAGCCCATCGATATTGAATTTCTTTGAATGCCAATTGATAGTAGGGATCCGTACGAATTAAAAAAGGTATAACATTTTAAAATCAGACGATTTTTACCGGAGATATTCAAAATAAATCATCGAAAAAGTTTTGATTTTTGAACCGACCTCGATATTGAAAAAAAAACGTGATGTAACCACTTGATTTTTGGTCGATTTTGGTCAAAATTTAAATTTTTATTTTCTTGATGCCAATCGATAGTACTGATCCTTACGAGTTCAAAAAGGTATAAAATTCCAAAATCTGACATTATTTGGCCGAGATATGCCAAAAAATCATCAAAAAAGGTTGAATTTGAAAACAAATCGGTTTTTGGTCAATTATTTTTTGTAGCCCATCGATATTGAATTTCTTTGAATGCCAATTGATAGTAGGGATCCGTACGAATTAAAAAAGGTATAACATTTTAAAATCAGACGATTTTTACCGGAGATATTCAAAATAAATCATCGAAAAAGTTTTGATTTTTGAACCGACCTCGATATTGAAAAAAAAACGTGATGTAACCACTTGATTTTTGGTCGATTTTGGTCAAAATTTAAATTTTTATTTTCTTGATGCCAATCGATAGTACTGATCCTTACGAGTTCAAAAAGGTATAAAATTCCAAAATCTGACATTATTTGGCCGAGATATGCCAAAAAATCATCAAAAAAGGTTGAATTTGAAAACAAATCGGTTTTTGGTCAATTATTTTTTGTAGCCCATCGATATTAAATTTCTTTGAATGCCAATTGATAGTAGGGATCCGTACGAATTAAAAAAGGTATAACATTTTAAAATCAGACGATTTTTACCGGAGATATTCAAAATAAATCATCGAAAAAGTTTTGATTTTTGAACCGACCTCGATTTTGAAAAAAAACGTGATGTAACCACTTGATTTTTGGTCGATTTTGGTCAAAATTTAAATTTTTATTTTCTTGATGCCAATCGATAGTACTGATCCTTACGAGTTCAAAAAGGTATAAAATTCCAAAATCTGACATTATTTGGCCGAGATATGCCAAAAAATCATCAAAAAAGGTTGATTTTGAAAACGAATCGGTTTTTGGTCAATTATTTTTTGTAGCCCATCGATATTGAATTTCTTTGAATGCCAATTGATAGTAGGGATCCGTACGAATTAAAAAAGGTATAACATTTTAAAATCAGACGATTTTTACCGGAGATATTCAAAATAAATCATCGAAAAAGTTTTGATTTTTGAACCGACCTCGATTTTGAAAAAAAACGTGATGTAACCACTTGATTTTTGGTCGATTTTGGTCAAAATTTAAATTTTTATTTTCTTGATGCCAATCGATAGTACTGTTCCTTACGAGTTCAAAAAGGTATAAAATTCCAAAATCTGACATTATTTGGCCGAGATATGCCAAAAAATCATCAAAAAAGGTTGATTTTGAAAACAAATCGGTTTTTGGTCAATTATTTTTTGTAGCCCATCGATATTGAATTTCTTTGAATGCCAATTGATAGTAGGGATCCGTACGAATTAAAAAAGGTATAACATTTTAAAATCAGACGATTTTTACCGGAGATATTCAAAATAAATCATCGAAAAAGTTTTGATTTTTGAACCGACCTCGATATTGAAAAAAAAACGTGATGTAACCACTTGATTTTTGGTCGATTTTGGTCAAAATTTAAATTTTTATTTTCTTGATGCCAATCGATAGTACTGATCCTTACGAGTTCAAAAAGGTATAAAATTCCAAAATCTGACATTATTTGGCCGAGATATGCCAAAAAATCATCAAAAAAGGTTGAATTTGAAAACAAATCGGTTTTTGGTCAATTATTTTTTGTAGCCCATCGATATTGAATTTCTTTGAATGCCAATTGATAGTAGGGATCCGTACGAATTAAAAAAGGTATAACATTTTAAAATCAGACGATTTTTACCGGAGATATTCAAAATAAATCATCGAAAAAGTTTTGATTTTTGAACCGACCTCGATATTGAAAAAAAAACGTGATGTAACCACTTGATTTTTGGTCGATTTTGGTCAAAATTTAAATTTTTATTTTCTTGATGCCAATCGATAGTACTGATCCTTACGAGTTCAAAAAGGTATAAAATTCCAAAATCTGACATTATTTGGCCGAGATATGCCAAAAAATCATCAAAAAAGGTTGAATTTGAAAACAAATCGGTTTTTGGTCAATTATTTTTTGTAGCCCATCGATATTGAATTTCTTTGAATGCCAATTGATAGTAGGGATCCGTACGAATTAAAAAAGGTATAACATTTTAAAATCAGACGATTTTTACCGGAGATATTCAAAATAAATCATCGAAAAAGTTTTGATTTTTGAACCGACCTCGATATTGAAAAAAAAACGTGATGTAACCACTTGATTTTTGGTCGATTTTGGTCAAAATTTAAATTTTTATTTTCTTGATGCCAATCGATAGTACTGATCCTTACGAGTTCAAAAAGGTATAAAATTCCAAAATCTGACATTATTTGGCCGAGATATGCCAAAAAATCATCAAAAAAGGTTGAATTTGAAAACAAATCGGTTTTTGGTCAATTATTTTTTGTAGCCCATCGATATTGAATTTCTTTGAATGCCAATTGATAGTAGGGATCCGTACGAATTAAAAAAGGTATAACATTTTAAAATCAGACGATTTTTACCGGAGATATTCAAAATAAATCATCGAAAAAGTTTTGATTTTTGAACCGACCTCGATATTGAAAAAAAAACGTGATGTAACCACTTGATTTTTGGTCGATTTTGGTCAAAATTTAAATTTTTATTTTCTTGATGCCAATCGATAGTACTGATCCTTACGAGTTCAAAAAGGTATAAAATTCCAAAATCTGACATTATTTGGCCGAGATATGCCAAAAAATCATCAAAAAAGGTTGATTTTGAAAACGAATCGGTTTTTGGTCAATTATTTTTTGTAGCCCATCGATATTGAATTTCTTTGAATGCCAATTGATAGTAGGGATCCGTATGAATTAAAAAAGGTATAACATTTTAAAATCAGACGATTTTTACCGGAGATATTCAAAATAAATCATCGAAAAAGTTTTGATTTTTGAACCGACCTCGATTTTGAAAAAAAACGTGATGTAACCACTTGATTTTTGGTCGATTTTGGTCAAAATTTAAATTTTTATTTTCTTGATGCCAATCGATAGTACTGTTCCTTACGAGTTCAAAAAGGTATAAAATTCCAAAATCTGACATTATTTGGCCGAGATATGCCAAAAAATCATCAAAAAAGGTTGATTTTGAAAACAAATCGGTTTTTGGTCAATTATTTTTTGTAGCCCATCGATATTGAATTTCTTTGAATGCCAATTGATAGTAGGGATCCGTACGAATTAAAAAAGGTATAACATTTTAAAATCAGACGATTTTTACCGGAGATATTCAAAATAAATCATCGAAAAAGTTTTGATTTTTGAACCGACCTCGATTTTGAAAAAAAACGTGATGTAACCACTTGATTTTTGGTCGATTTTGGTCAAAATTTTGATTTTGATTTCTTTGATGCCTATCGATAGTACTGATCCTTACGAGTCAAAAATGGTATATCATTCCAAAATCGAACAATATTTGGCCGAAATATTCCATAAAATCATCAAAAAAGGTTGATTTTACAGACGAATCGTTTTTTGGACAACAACTTTGATGTAACCCGTCGATTTTTGATTTGATTGAAAAGGTAGAATATTCCAAAATCAGACGTTATTTATCCGAGATATTCAAAAGAGATAAACAGAAAACTTTTGACTATTGAACCGACCCCGATTTGTTACATTTTGGTATTCATTTTAAACCGATTAGAGTTCTCTTACTCGTTTTAATTAAAGCCTAGCGTTTTGGTATATACTAGCTTTTATATGAAATATTTAAGCACTAGAAATTTGATAAAAATCGGACTATAAACACCGGAGTTAATCAAGACTCGTAGTTTAGCATATGTATAGAAAGAAACAATATCTAGAGTCTAGGTTCAGGGTATCTCCTAGTCGGGCAGTCCCGACTGTTTAAAAGTCATTTCAGCATATAACATAATCTGTTTATATACATATATATATATATATTTCCTTTTGTTTTCTGTATAAGTACATATATATTCGTCTTTATATATAATTGTTTTACACATCTTAGAACTGGGCTTTCAATAATAGGTAATACTAGAAAATTTGCGTGTGGAGTGAGCCTTGTTTAAATTAACTTCTGTAGAAATCAAAATCTGATATAAATATATCTAACACTTGCACAAAAGCCAGATGAGAGACTCTCTTGATAGCTCAAGGCTTATACTACTTTGGCCACACAGGCAGTACACTCAGAGAAAAATTCTGTACTCAAGTCAAACATTCTTCAAAGAATCTGTAAGTTTACCTACCGAACATTTCTTTCTTCTGTTGGATTTTAATGCTTAAAGAAATTGTTAAAAAAAAAGAAGAAGTTAAAAAGCCTTAAAAGAATTTGCATAAACTTAAATTAAATTAAATTAAATTAACTGACCTGCCCGAAGGAAGTACGAAATCCTTAATTAAACTATTTTCAATTAAAGTAAATAAATAAAAAGGTCGTACTTACAGTTTAAGAAAACTTGAAACAAGTTTAAGAAATTTTGGATCGTACTTAAAAGTTGCTGGACTTTATCTCTGAGTGTAATGCATGGTTTATTGTTGTTTTTTTTTGGGTATTTTATAGCCAGCTCCATTTGACGCGAAAAGTTGAAGGAGCACAGCATATCATCTGGTTTGTGCATGGATATATATTCCGATATTGCTATAAGAAGTCACGTTTTAATTATATTTGATTTTTTAATTGAATTTTTAGCGGTTCTCTCTCTCTCTCTCTAAGTTACACTTAAATTGTCTAATCGCTGTGTTCTTTGTGTGTATTTCGTTTTTGTGTGTGCTTTTTACGAACCGAAATGAATTATTTACAATTTGAAGAATTTCGCGAACAAATATGACGGGAGAGTTATCCGGGAGAGTTTAGATAGAGCTAAGATTCTTTCTTTTTTTCTATTTAATTATTATTGCATGATATTATTTGAAAGGTTTTAAGGTTTTTCACTTTGTCTCTGTTTGTGTGTGTGTGTGTGATTTTGTAGCATTTTGACGAAGACCAAACAATTTTGTTGATTTATATTAATAATCACACAAAAAATATAGACTATATACGGTATTTTAAGTATCGTTTTTTGTTTTTTCCTCTCATCTCTCTCTCTCTCTACTCAATGTAGATGTCCTCGATGGGATAAGCCGTCTCGATAAACTTCTGATAGAAACGCTGAAAGGCGCGACTGCGAGAAATTGTATGCACTTGAGTTAGGATCATAGATGGTTATTATTTCTGGTTAGCTTACCCGACAGCCTCGGCGACGGGCCTGGTCGACTCGTTGCCCTTGAAGACGTGACAGGCGAATCGCTGCACTGTCGGATGCTTTGTGATGAAGCCAATGAAGCGATGATCGCGTGGATGAAAGGCGCAGAATGAGACGTTCTTCAGCGAGTAGAAGTAATCGATGCAGGGCTTCTTCTCCTTTTTGTTCTGTTGCAAAGAGTATGAAGGAGAACTTGAGAAATGGATAGTCTATCTAGAGCCATGCACGAATACATTTGCTGGCAAACTTTTTCTTTGAATACCGAAAAAATTAGTTAAGTTGTCTTCGTTCAGTTTCGTTTCAAGCTTCGTTTCGTTGGGTGCCCGCTCGAACAAACGAACAAACGAACAACGAAAATTTGAACGAAAACCGAACGAAAACAAACAAGTAGCTGGAAGAATAAGCAATAAAGGCGAGCAGTCTTCCGAATTAACCCACTACTCGCAAGTAGCTGGAATTACTTTCGAATATATGTGTATCCTCTGCTCAACTCAAACTCAATACTCAAAGGTTTGAGTTGCCGCTTCAAAAACTTACATTTTGTTCAACTTGTATGAGTCGGTATTTCAATTCGAAATTGTGATACCTGGTTACATTCGTTTAAAAGCAAGAAGATTTTCATTCCAATCAAATCACGAATGCCACGTTTGCCACGTTTGCAAGACTCTAGAGTATATATATATGGCAACATTGTGACTTACGTTTGGCGCCGAGCGATCGACCATGCGCAAGCCCTGATCGGATACCTCCAGAATGCACGTTTGTCCCGTGGGCGAGTTGCCGTATTCGCCGACTATTTTGCGGACCGCCTGGCAGACGACGCCGGTGCCCTTGTGGGCGAGTGTCTCAACGGAGCCCAGGTAGCCCAACAGGTAGCGCTCCTTCTTGACCAGCTGCACGGTCGGATCGAACTCGTTGTAGTCCAAGTCGACGGCATAGGCCGAGGGAAAGATGCCCTGTCGGCCGGTGCGCAAATTGACGCCCTCGCACCACAAGTCCTCGGCCTCCTTTTGCACATAGATGGCATCGCCGATCTCCAGCTCGATCTCGTCATGGTGTCGCGGCACAAACTTGTGCAGTCCCCGGTGTGTCGCCTCCAGCATCTCCAGCTGGCCGAATGGCACGCCGCCAAAGACCGGCGGAAAGGGTGACTGCGATACTGGCGACGTGATCTGCGGCGACATGCTCTTGAAATCGTTGGGCGAATGCGCCGTGCTGTGGCCGCTGTCCACATCGCCCAGGCTCTGCAAACGCTCCGAGTCCGGGCTGGAGTCCTCGTCCAGCAGATAGCCGCATTTGAGCGTTAGAAACGAGCGCTGCTGATTCGTGCGCGGCGCCACCAAAGAGCCAGCCGCGCCAGCTCCAGCTCCAGTTCCAGCTCCAGCTCCCCCTCCAGCCGCAGCTGCTGCTCCCATGCGGAACTCATCCGCCAGAGTGCAGGCATTTGCGCCACCTAAAATGTGCAAAATGGAAGCTGCAACGAGGCCATGAGTAGATTAGATTTAGCTACGTGGGGCTAAGGGGAAACTCTAACCAGGCATGCGGGTAGTAACTAAAATAGTGGCTTGGATGCCGCCAGAGCCATGCATCGAGTCAGACGTTGCGTTTCGGATACTCGAACCAATAAAACGTGTTGATTGAATGAAAATTTGATTGCTCGAACATGTTGCTGACTCGATCATTTCGAGCTTTATTAGCTCAAACATGTTGTAGACGCGACAGCTGTTCGAACTTTGCTAGCTCTAACTAATTGCTGAGTTGAGCAGTTCGAACATGTTGCTACCTCGAGCGCAGTTCGAACTTTGTTAGCTCGAACATGTTGCTGACTCGAGCATTTCGAGTTTTATTAGCTCAAACATGTTGCTGACTCGAGCAGTTCGAACTTTGTTTGAATGTGTTCGTGTTCAATAAATCGTTAATGCGAACACTACTTAGTTCGATATGAGAATAGGGAGCTCGAGTTGGTTGGTTCGATTGAGTATCCGAATTAAATGCAAGTGAATTAGTCGATGCAGCGCTCTAGTTGCCAGCCTACTTACATTTCTTATTCTTGGGTATCTCTGGCAACTTGCGGCGACGTCGCGTGGCCGCAGCGCTGGGTGTCAACAGCTGCTCCGTGCTGGTAACTGGGCCAACAGCTGACACGACAGCAGCAGCAACTGGGGTCAGCCCGTTGATGCCTAAGAAGCCACCAATGGCATCCTGGTGATTCAATGGATGATGCCTGTGCGAGTTGAACGAGTCGTTTGTATCGAGTGAGCCATCCGAGGAGAGCGTGACCTTAAGGCCATCGCCCAACTCATCGTCCTCCACCTGACGCTGCAGCTTGCCATCGGCAATGCCATCCTCCTGGTCGGAGCCATCGCTTTTGGATGAATTCGAATCCTCAAGATCGTCGTTGGGTGTTAGACTGCACAAAAGTGGGGTTGAAGCGGTAATTGTGAGATTAGTTAAAGTTTTTACAAGAAGAAGGCGTATTTGTTCAGACTGACTGATTGACCGACTGATTGACTGATTGATTGATTGATGAACAAGGCACAGCTTTACCCATAAAGGTTGTAATAAAGATGCGAAGAGGGGATCGAAAAGTTTCACCCGCATGGGTGGAAAATGGATGAAAGATAAAATAAATAAATAATACTTAAATATTTTCGCGATGCATCTGATTGGCATGAAAATCATTATCAAGAGTCTTTGTGAAAATTTGTATAAGCCGCTGCCTTGGATGGAAAATGTGGCTCCAAGGTTGTCTGGTTGAAAGCTTAATTTTGATGAAGTGTGATTTGAATTCATTTTCCAAAGCTCTAAAGGAAACATTAATCATCAAAGTAAGCCTTTGACAAGGTATGAACATGAAAATCCGGAACATCTGAGACCTGCTAGTAACACGTCTTATATACAAGCACATATGTATTTGTATATATATATATATACATGCATAAGCACGCAATGGAATCTTTCGATGCACATCCTTGCCATCCTTGGGTCAGCTGTTGCCCCGAGGGTTGACTGCGTCCGGGGTCGGGTCAAGTCAAGAATGGGAATCGAGCACACGTGTTCGCCCGCATTTGAATTGATTTTTCAAGTGGTCTTTTCACTTACGAGTAAAATGCATGTGTGGTCTTCTTCTTGCCGAATGTGGTGCTTATGGCGTGTGGCTCAAAGATGGGCCTGCGGAACTCCTCGAATTCGCTGTCGGCCATCGCGTTGTCCAGCTGCCACGCCTACAAATTGAGGCTAACTATGTGGTTAGTGGCTTTCGAGTTTGAACTTGAGATTTGCGACTAATTCAACATCTCCCCAAGCAGCCGAAACACTTTTTTTCACTACAAAACTGAATTAATCAATAATTTCCTTGACGTCGATTTCTCGTACTTCAGCCCAGTTTGACGTCCACTCCAAAGCTAAAGTCTTTGCCTCTCGCAGCTGGGAAATTTATGCGAGCCTCAGCTGTCAGGAGCATGCTCCAGTGCTCACTCATTTCGTGCTCTCTTTCACTTTCTCTCACCCCCTTTCTCTCTCGACGCTTGCAACTTGTTTTTGTTTACAACCAGTCGACGTTCTGGCGCTGGCTGGGAACTGCATTTGGGGGTTGACAAGTTGCACGCATGCGCATACCCTTCAGAAATATTATTTATTTTGGGGGTGAGTATCTCGAATTGCAATGCTGTTGCTTGCAACACAGTCGGACACACTGCGGCACGTTCCAGGGCGGATGGAAGCCCTAGTCCATTCGAATTCTGGCGCCAGAGGGTGGATAGCATATGCCTAAAATAAATGAAAAATAAACTTCGATTAACAGCCAAGTTATAGAAAGAAATCTTAAGATAAAACAAGCACAAGAACAAAGAGTCGCAAGTGTTCGACTTGGGGATACCCTATATCAACTTCCACCAACACCGAATGAAGCTTTCGAGATGCGCTCGTTAGGCATTTCAAATTAAATTTAAAAAAAGTTGGACTCGAATTCGCAGCCCGGTTCAACCTCGCCAGCGTTAAATACTCCACAATTATACCAAGAATTTCGACATATCTTCTAGCAGTTTACAAAGTCGTGTTGGCGCCAACTTGGAGGTACGGTATTCAGGTTTGGGAATTGCATCTCATACAAATCGTAGACGGATTCAGACACTCCAAAACTTTGCCTTGCGCCAAATGACCGATGTTGACTGGTACGACAGAAATTCTACCTTGCACAGAGACCTCAAAATGGAGACTATAAACAGCCAAGTCGAAGCATTCGCCAAACGATACAACGAACGCTGGCAGCGACAACAGACCTCGCTGGGAGGTGTGCAGTCAGGAGGCTCGAGAGAAGTTCCTTTAAGGAACTGCTCCCACCACGACACAGGAGACGCCACAGAGCCCGCCGACTACCTACGTGACGATGCAGCCTTGCTCAAAGAAGACGCCTTTGACGTTCGGCCACGATAAAGTCCGAGGACCCAACCAGGCTAGGTGAAATACCACCTTAACTGTGTTGTAATATAAATGTATGATACTTTTGATTCAATACAATAAACATATACAAGAAAAAATAATCATAATAATAATAATAATAATAATAATAGTCATAATAATAATAATAATAGTTAAATCCTTCGAAAAAAAAATTATTTAGTTAAGCAAGCAAGTGCTTAAAAGGCTGCCAACCAGAGATAATTAGATAAGTAGTCGCAGATAACCAAAAGAAGAAGAAGAAGAAGCAGCTGAAAACGCAAAGTGCAAAAAAGAAAGTATAATTAATTTGTGCTTGTATATCGACGGGCCTAATGAAGATTGAATAAAGGGTGAAAGCCAACCAACACGTCCATCTAAGCACTCGCACAAGCTCTCGCACACTCGGAGGAAATCCAGTTCCAAGTGCTGAGAAAAAATATTTTGCTCTTGAATATTCGCAACTTGAATAGGAAACAAACTAGAACTCTTTAGACGACTGGGAAATACCCTGAACCCTTTGAAAACATTCAGCTGCGCTTCTTCTTTCATTAATCGCACATTAAGTCAAATTAGTTCTTCATTAACTTCGGTGTTTGAGGTCCGATCGTTATGAAACCTTTAGGACTTGAGTGTGGCACTCAGATATGTAGTCATACCTAAGCACAAGATTCTATGTCGGAAAATGAGACAGGTATCTAAAAGTGAAATATACGCAATCTTTGTGTACTTTAAGAGAAAGTACATCCTGTTGTAATAAGGCTTTTAGCACTTAATTTTTATATAGAAATAAATAAATAAATATGAAATGAAGTATTTCTTTCTCCACTTGGGCTCAGGCAAAATGTTTTGCATGAGGAATTGAAAATGATCTGCTCAGGCGAACCAGGTTCCCTTTTTACACAGTGACTTGCAAAAGTACTTTGCCTTTTGGCCGAGTGCATGTGTCTAGTATATATTCATCTGGCAGTCAGTTATGCCTATTCCTTGCTCAGAAGCTGCCTTAACTTAATTAGACGGAAATCAACAGAAATCACAAGCTCCATTCATGCAGTCAATTCATTCATTCATTCATTTCGAGAAATGGCCTGTTGCTGTCTTTAAAGGCGCCTTTAAGAATCATCTGCTATAAATCCATCACACAACTGTTGGCCAGCAGCAATCACTTTGATTGGGATGCGAAGGGGATAAAGTGGAGTAGTAGCAGTAGCCATTACGTTTATCACATCAGCTCGTTCCTGTTCCACACGCACGTGTGTGTTGTGCTGTGGCTGTGCCCGCATATTTTAATAGCCAAGTAGCTAACTTTGACTTCCTCCTGCTCAAACAGAAACTGCCCACCCCGCACCCGTTGTTTGCTTTTCTCTAAGCGCAAACAATGGTGGCCCAAAGCGAACCAAAGCGGAGCGAAAGCAGAGCCGCAAAAGCAAAAGAAATTGCCATTTATCTGTTATTGACTCTGCCGCTTGGGCCCAACTTTCAGCACATTGTCAAGGCAAGGCAAGGCAAGGCAAGGCGAGCGCATCAAGTGGTTGCCTCGTCATGCCGCATGCCACATACCGTAGACTTGACTGATGTCCAGTGAAAGTTTATGTGACAGAAGCGGTAACCGATTCGCAGTAAGTTTTGGGGCCTTGCAATAAATGTATGCAGATGGTATAGCTCGCTTCCGACTCGGAAAGGCAACTTGAATATAACTTAGTCCTAAGCAATGCGATGCACTCCTTTATAAAATGACTAAAGTATAACCGATTCGCAACATTTCAGGATTTATAGTTCTCTGCGAAATCGTTAAGGCTCAACAGAAAGGGAGCTCGAAATTAGCATGGCTAAATCTCAACCGATTCGATGTCCTCTTTTTTAAAATGAGAAAAGCGGTTATGATTCATAACCGATTCGCAGTACTTTTTTGTCGAGCAAGTTTTGGAAACTTGCAACTTATAAATGCTCAACAAAAAGAGAACTCAAATTTACCTTGGCTAAGGTATAACCGATTCGATACAATCCTTTTTAGATTCACAAAAGGGTTTTCTAAGTACCTTTTCATTGAGTCTAAAGAATTCGGAACAAATGTATCCAGGAGTTATTGTTTTCTACTCGAAAAGGCGTTCATAGAAAGGGAACTAGAATTTACTATGTGTTAACCGATTCGATGCACTCGTCTTTAAAATGAAAGAGTTAAGATTTCATAACCGATTTAATCGGGTAAGTTCTAGGAATTTCAAATAAATATATCTCGAAGTTTTAGTTCTCTTCCAACTCGAAAAGGCTCCACAGAACGATAGCTCGGATTACTTTTTCATTTTATGGCGTTTTTCTCGAATTTGAGACAATAAACTTTTTTGATTGTAAAGCTTTTCTTAATAAGTAAAAAGTGCTGCTCTATTAAATATTTTCTTAGCTCTGTCAAATTCTTTTCTAGTATTTTTTTTTAACAGATTAGAACATCAAATTCACATTTGTTGCTGCTTTTTGCGATTTCATTGCAATCGATTGGAACTCATTGCATTTGGTTAGGTAGAGCTCGTTTCACGGTATTTCATGCCCGCATAAATTAAGCAAACGCATTTGAAAGTCAAGCGCTGACAGAAGAAAATATAAAAAAAAAACTAGAAAAAAAAAAGTAAAATAAAATAAACGTTCAACTCGAACTCCTAACGCATTAAATGTTGTTGCTGCTGATTAGAAAGTGAAATGACGTCATGTGTTAGAGCTAGCCTGATTTCAGCGTGATTTGGCCAATCAGAACGAGCTACACCCACACACACACGCGCACACACACACACACACACACACAGAGACAGACAGATAGAGATAGAGAGCCTGCCAGAAGGAGGTGGAGCAAAAGAAACTCACTTGTAGCTTTTATATCCTTGAACAAATTTATCTCGCTACGCACACTTGATAAATACAATTGAATATGTATGTATCTTAATGGGTGTGTGCCTGTGTGTGTGTGTGTGTGTCTGTCTGTGTGTGTGTGTGCTGCCACAAGGCTGGCTATAAAAGGCGCTTGTGCCTTGGCAGGATCTTGCAGTTGCCGTTGCGTTTGCATTGCGTATACGACGCGTGTGCTACATTTGTGAATAAAAGTGAAATAAAGTGAATTTTGGATACAACCAACAAAAGTAACTGGATTATTCTTGACAAGACAATAGAGTTAGAAAATTGCAATTTCTTACAGAAACTTTCGTTTGAATCGAAAGTGAGCAACAAGACAGGGTTTTGGTATATTCGCGAAGTTATAAGTTTGATTAAGGCAAGACTAACTTACGCTTGGCTTGGTTGTCCGAGCATTAGGTAGCCAGCGAGAAGTCGCTGGTTCAACTCAAGTAGCAATATTACAATTTTGATATTTGTTAATCTCTTTTATTATTATTATTCCCAGAAAAAGAAGCAGTAATATTTATAAAAGCAGAACTCAAACAGTTGAGAGAGCAGGCTAAGAGCTTAGGGTTTGAACCAACGAGTAGACAGAAGAGAGAAAAATATTTTTTGAATATTTACTTAGTTACATTTTTCTTTGTGGGCGCAACTTGAGTGGCTTTGTATTCGCATGGGGTTGGGCTGAATTTCGCTGCCTCTTGTATTTTCAGCAATATTAATGTGAACCGGGCAACGCCGGTCAATTTCTTCCAGCATCACATATATACATATGAGAATGAGCGCATCGGGCAAGAGTCTGTTAGGCCTCTGGCTGTACCGCAGCGGCGAACAGGAATGGGCCGTCAAACAGGGCAGTCCGCTGCACACGCTCAAGAAGGAGTCGGCGGCGGCGGGGGCTTCCTCAACGCACGCAAGTCTCGCCCGACATGCCTCGGCACCTGGCGACAATTTTCTATTGTTCTCCTCCTCCAACAAGCAGGAACGGAGCAATGGGGGCTCCGCCGAGCCGGCGCGCCTGCCCGGCGATGCAGGGCGTCCGCCTGCGGCCGGCGGCGAGCGCATCTCCATTTTGTTCACGTTGAAGAACCAGGTGGGCAATTTGGCTCGTGCGCTGCAGGTCTTCCAGGAGCTGGGCATCAATGTGCTGCACCTGGAGCTGTCGCCCATGGAGGCGACCTGCAATCAGGCCGACGTCCTGGTGGATGTTGAGTGCGATCCACGTCGCTTGGATCAGGTGGTGAAAATGCTCAATCGCGAGGTCGCCTCGGTTAACTATACGTCTGTTAATGCGCATACTTTAGCCCGGGCGCCTTCCCTGTCTGCCTGCTCCAGTTTTGGTGAGTACCTGCATCCAAATCCTTCTGATACTTGGGGAGAGTGAGGGGTCTCTAATACTCGATGGAATTGAATTGAAACCTAGCAAGAATATATCAAAGCCTACAAGAGATACCCCGTAAAATAACATGTTCCCCATAAAATTTACGGATGGGAGAACGCTTGTTTAAATACTGAGTAAGAAGAGCTCAAAACGATGTGGCTAATAAAAACTGTGACTCCGAATCTGCAACTCCGAAACTATGATTCCGAAGCTGTAACTCCGAAACGGTGACACTTCAACTGTGCTTTTAAAATTGTGACTCCAAAACTGTGACTCCAAAATTTGGCTATTCAAAACGGGGACTCCGAAACGTCAACTACGAAACGGAGTCTCTAAAACTGTGACTTCAAAACTGTGACTCTGAAAAGTGGGTTTAAAACTGGGACTTTAGAACGGTAAACATGCGAATGTAGGGTTGGGGATCTATAACGGAATGCAATGATGTCCTGTGTGATTCTTAAAAAATGTCTTATTACTGTGACTCCACAACTAGTTCTCGAAAATTTGGCTACAAAACTGCGACCTTAAAACCTCAAGTTGACTATAAAACTGTGTCACATTTAGAGTGCACGGAGAATTTTAAAAAACTTCAGGGATTATTTCAGAAAGAAATTTGCAAGGACTGTACAAATAACTGAATTTCTAGTTCCAGTGGGGTTCAATAGATGTATCAAGAACTAAACTAACCTTTATCTAGTTCCAAATAGAGGGTATAAAGGGAAATTTACATTTTGAAATTTGATTTGCCTTCTGTAAATTGATTTTCCCATATGACGCAGACTTTGGTGACATGGTTTGGTTTCCGCGCAAGATATCCGACCTGGATCAGGCGCAGAATGTGCTCATGTATGGCTCCGACCTGGATGCCGACCATCCTGGCTTCAAGGATCCCATTTATCGCAAGCGCCGCGAACAGTTCTCGGCCATAGCCAACAATTTCAAGCAGTAAGTCCAAGCCCCAAGCTTCCCACCTTCCTAAAGGTCAGCTACATCCTGCCTCCTCTTGTTCCACCTCTTAGCGGCAATCCCATTCCGCGCGTGCAGTACACGCCGGAGGAGGTGAAAACTTGGTAAGTGGCAATTGAATTTTAGTGTTGTTGCTTTTGCAACTTTGTTGTTTTGGGCAGGGGCACCGTCTTCTTGGAGCTGCATCGCCTTTATCAGCTGCACGCGGTGCCCGAGTACATGGAGAACTGGCCGGAGCTGGTCAAGTTTTGTGGCTATCGTGAGGACAATCTGCCGCAGCTGCAGGATGTCAGCAGCTATCTGAAGCGCAAGACGGGCTTTCAATTGCGTCCCGTCGCTGGTTACCTTTCGCCCCGTGACTTTCTCTCCGGACTGGCCTTTCGCGTGTTCCACTGCACGCAGTACATAAGGCACTCCTCGGATCCCTTCTACACGCCGGAGCCGTAAGTGTCCGAATGTGTGTGTGTGTGAGTTAATTGTGTTACAAATTCCAGTGATTGCTGTCACGAACTTTTGGGCCACATGCCGCTGTTGGCCAACTCGAGCTTTGCCCAGTTCTCCCAGGAGATTGGCCTCGCCTCGCTGGGCGCCTGCGATGCAGACATTGAGAAGCTGGCCACGGTACGTGTACTTGGAATTATGAGTCAATCGAAACCCGTATCGGATACTCAATCAAATCGAAAAAAATGAGCGCGTTTAGATTGACAAATGGAGTCTATCGAATACTCGAAACAAACGCAACAAATAAGTTCGAGCTAGTCAAACAAGTTCGACTCAAATTCGACTGTGTTTGAACTAATCGTCCGGACTTGTATGGCATCTTTTGCACTGAACATGTTCGAACTGCTTTTGATCGAACTTGTTCGTTTGCGGCTCGAGTCATTTGGTTTGATTGAGTATTCGAGTAGTTTTCAATTGAATTAACCGATGCTGGGCTTTAGTTTCTCCTTTGTGAATGCTCTTCAAGTAATTTTCTGCTCTGTAGCTGTACTTTTTCACCGTCGAGTTTGGCCTGTGCAAGCAGGCGGACAACAGCTTCAAGGTCTACGGCGCCGGTCTGCTCAGCTCTGTGGCGGAGCTGCAGCATGCCATTACGGCACGGGATAAGATCAAGAAATTCGATCCGGAGCTGACCTGCAAGGAGGAGTGCATCATCACATCCTATCAGAATGCCTACTACTATACAGACTCCTTCGAGGAGGCCAAGGAGAAAATGCGGTAGGTGACCCTTCAATATCTTCAGCCTCTCTTCGACTCTCTCACTCTCCCTCTCTCTCTCTCCCGCTCTCTCTAGAGCCTTTGCGGAGAGCATCCAGCGCCCGTTTGGGGTGCGCTACAATCCCTACACGAGCAGCGTGGAGGTTCTCTCCAATGCCCAGAAGATAACCGCCGTGGTCAGCGAGCTGAAGGGCGATCTAAGCATCGTTTGCTCCGCTCTGCGCAAGATCTCGGCCACGGATGAGAATCTGGACGTGGACAGCATAGCGAATATGCTGCACAATAGCCTCAATGTACGCTCCGGCGGCGCCGGCGGCGGCAACAGTCCAGACAACACGGAGCACTATATAGCCGAGGGCGATTAGAGGAGGCCGACATCGAGAAATGGTACGAAACCTTGTTATGCTGGGACCATATGCTATATACCACAAACTTAAAAGATATTTATATATATACAAGTTATATTCAATATGCAAATCGATATCTAAATGTTTGGCAACACTTAATTTATTTCAACTTATGCCTAACTATTGCATCTTAGCACTAACACTTAAAAAACTTAAATAAATTTCACTTCTTTGTGTGTCTTAGTCAACTTTTATGTGGAGAAATGGAAGTGGGAGAGGGTTAGAGAGAATAGAGGGGGCAGAAGGTTCCTTTTGGGGAGGAACAGAACAGAATTCCTTGCAGAGTTTATTCAATTAGTTCTTTTTAGAATGGAATTCAAATATTTTACGTTGCATTGGACCTTAAACAATCTTATCTCGAGTTTCTTGAAATTCCATAATCTATAAGAACAAATAAAGGTAATCTATAGATTTTTGTCATATTGTTCCTATGGGAGCTATATGATATAGTGGAACAATTAAATATGCTCGTAATTCTTGAGTTTCTTCTTAAAACAAATCAAAACAGTTATTCATACATAAACTAAATCATAATATTGTAGTATTATATATAAAAGTAGTATGAGTATAGTAATAAAGTAATCCACTTTTTATTAATTCTAGCTTAAATTTGATCAAACAAACGATCTTTGCTATAAAAACTCTATATGCTATAGTAGTCCGATTTTCAAACAGAATCAAACATTTCGAGTTCTTCCTATGACAACTATATGATATATTTGTCGGGTTTATAAAAACTTGTGCCAAAATAGAGTTGACTAAGCAGCGCTTCGATCAACTTTCGATACAAGACCTAGATTGTGTTTCAGGCTTGCCTATGGCATCTATAAGATATAGTGAACCGATCCGACTGGATTTTGGGATATGTATTAACTGCAGCCAGAAGAAGCAGGCGTGCCTAGTTGGAGCCGGATAGCTGCTCGGCGAGACTAGTTCGAGTTTGAGTTGAACAGGGCTCTCCAATAGCTATACTATATATACATGTTATATACTATATACTTGAGGGCTACCAATAAAAAAAACTTCCTGCAGCAGTTGTTGGACAGCTCGTGTAGTGTAACTATAATGCCCAGATCAGCTGCTGGGGCATATATATATATATATATATATAGAGAGAGAGAGGGAGCTGACTATTTGTAGATCATATCACAGTCGCTGTTGATGAAGAACTTTCGGCTGATGTAGCTGGACGTGTACTCGAGCAGCCAGTTGGGTATGGTCCAGACGGTGAAGCTGAGCGCGAGCCGGCGCCACTGGCCCAGGATGAGGGGCATGTTGTAGAGCCAGCTGCAGTGGGCGCCCATCCGGCTGGTCACCTGGCTGGTCACCTTGCTGGTGACGCCGCGCACCATGCCGCCGGCCAGTCCGGTGACGCTCACCTTCCTGCGTCGCTTCGATTTGGGCGAGTCGCGGCGTTCCGGCCGTGTCGCCAAGCCGCCGATGCCACCGCCGCCGCCACCGCCGCCGCCGCCGCGCTGCTCCGGATCGGACTTCATTTCGACGCGTGGCGCGATTTGTATGCGATCGACCGTATCGCAGATTTCCTCATTGCTAATCAGTATGCCAGCCACGATATACATCAGCTTGAATACTCTACAAATGGCAAGTCGAATTTAATACTCGCTTATCGGGCGACATGCTGCTCTATATAATTATATATATAGAGAGCTCTCTGTGCTCACCTCACGGTATGGGAAATCATCGCAGCGCCGAGTTCAAAAGTTGCAACGCGTCTTGAAGATTTGTTTTTGTTTTTTTTTTCTTTTTTTTCGCCTGCACCAAGAGCTTCGGACTTATCAGTCAGGCGAAATGTGTGTGATTATATGAAGCTAATATATATATATATATATATATTATTTAGAATATATATATATTTTTTATATACTGTCTTTTAGATTTAGATTTCAATACGCTGCTTTACACATTTATAGTTCCATTTATAGTTTGTTTTTTTTTTTTTTTTATATTTTTATATTTATATTTTAATATTTTAATATATATATTTATTTCTAAGTCTGTATAAATTTATATATATTTATTTTTAATTTAGTTTCTTTATGCTTTATTATTTATTTTATAATTATAGTTTATATTTAATTTGCCTTGAATATATTTTATTTATTATATTTTCATTCAAATTTTAAGTTATTTTTTTGCACTTTAAAACTTCCTTGGATTATATATATATATAAATGATGTCTATTTATATTTTAATTTTATAACAATTTTTTTTATTTCTTCAAAGTGTTTTATGGTTTAATAACTGCGTTTAGCTAGTATCAGCTGCTATAAAATTGAGTTGCGTGTAGACCTCGCTCGGCTCTTGCTGGAACTCAACTGAATGGAAGACGGATCGCTCGATTTTCTAGCAGCGCCGCTCAGAGTTGGGCTGATAAATGGCCGGGCAGCATGTCGGCGATAAGGCTGGATTCCTATTCCTAATGCTCTTCCATGTTTCAATATGTATTTATGTCTTAATGCTTTTTAATGTGTCTGCAGATCAGCCAGGGACTTGCCCTCTCTCGCTCGCTCTCTCTCTCTCACTCTCTCACACTCTCTCTCACTCGTCGCACTGCTGATAACACTTGATAATTTCTTATCGTTCGATTTTTATGGCTGTTTCGTGGCGGCGTCTAAATAACTCTGAATCGCTTGGAAACTACGTAATGTCCGATGTCTGGGCGCGAACTTTGGAACCGATTCGAAAGGCGCATGAGCTGTCCCCAGGGTCTAGCTGGGGCATTGCTCATAAGTGCGAGGAATGATTGAAATCTTTTATATTTTGGAATCTCGCTGATAGTCACAGCAATTGCGTCTGATCAGGCGAGCTGTAGATAATAGTATGTTTATTCAAGGGCAACTGCATGAGATAACGAAATAGGAACTATTTATATATGTCATGTGTGTTTCTATGCGTGTGTGTTGCGTGTCTGGATCATATATAAACATATCATAATAGCGCAACAATTGTCAATAAAAATTTCATTTCGAAAAAGTGGACATAACATAGCTAAAATGCTGTTAAGATCTAGTTATTGAAGTTTAAAGTCTTCCACTTTGCATGGAATCAGTTAAAAATAGTATTTTAAACTAATTTTTAAACACCTTAATCGATTAAAACTGAAATTATATAATATTTAGACCTTGATGCAGTAGAACTGGAGTGGAACGCATGCGCTGACTTATATTGGTGTTTGTATAGGATAAAAGAAATGTACCCCAGGCATTTAGTGCGAAAAAGAACCCTTGGAGAAAAAGATATATATCCCAGGCACTTAGTGCGGAAAAGAACCATTGGGATGAAATAAAAATACCCCAGGCATTTAGTGCGGAAAAGAACCCTTGGGATAAAAGCAAAGTACCTGACATTTAGTGCGGAACAGAACCCTTGGGTGAAAAGATTAATACCCCAGGCATTTAGTGCGAATAAGAACCTTCCGGATAAAACAAAAATACCCCAGGCATTTAGCGAGGAAAAGAACCCTTATCTAGGGCTACCACTTTTTGAGGGCAATTTTCGGGAATTGCACAGTGCCGCCATCTATGTTTGATTTCATTAAATGTTTACAAATTAAATATAAAATTCGAAAGTGTTAAAAACGAGATTTTAAATAAAAAACTTAATTCTATTTATTATTAAGTCACTTAATTTTTGGCATTAGCAGGATTACAAGCCAAGCCTGAGATTTTTTGTAAACAAATAAATTTAATTTAATCTAAATTTAATCTGATTAATAACAGATTAATTTTGTATAAAGGAAACGAACAGTCGACGACAGATTAAAGACGTCTGGCCAGCGCCAATCCAAAGAATAAATATTTTGCTGTCCCCTTTTATTATTATTAATTGGCAGAGTTGGATGCACTGCGTCCAATCGGGCCAGCTCTCACTTAAAAACAAGGCCGTATAGCTCCTTACTTACCCCTCTCGAAATGCCCGACTAGGAGTTACCTTTTACCCAGCGCCAAGCTGCCGTTGCTAACAGCATCTCACCTCTTACTCTTGGTAAGTAGACTCCTGCCTGGTGTGAAAGCTGCTGAGGCAAACGGATGGCCCGCAGTTCAGCAGAGGCGTTTGCGGAGTTCGCTTTTCGGCTTGAGGTTAACTTTTGCCCAAGTTTTCTGGATTTGTGATCACCCCACCCCCTCACCACTATTCCCAACCCTCAGCACCCTGTGGAAGACTGCCTAATCCGACGCTAAGAGGCCTGTGCTTTGACTTTTGAGTAGATCGGGAGTTCTGTGGGCCTTCAAGTCCTTCTCGGACTTTTCGGGAGTAAATACTGAAGCTGAGAGATTTGCGCCTCCGTAACCGCTTTCAGGATGATGTCCTTCGATGTTGCTAGCTTAGAGTCCACAGACTCCTTGGAGGCTGTCTAAAAAGTCATGCTGGGCAAGAGGGCCAGACTGAGATGCCTCTAGCATGGCCTACCCGTGCGTCCGGCATCGGTTCGTGAAGGGTATTTAGACAGTTATTCTCGTGTTTTGTGTGAAAAGAAGGTCTCGCAGAAATAGGCGTATTTATAGATGTTCGAGTTAACTCAGGAGGAATTATCTATTTATCTACATAGATATCTACATATATATAATTAACATGTAATATGTGATTAAGTTGATTCCCTTCTGAAGCCCCTATTCACAATAAATTGTGCGCAATTGTGAATGTAGATTCAATAATCCTGCTATAATTAACAATATAAGGCTCAAGAGCTTCGCCCAAAAATCAAACAATTAAAGTGTTTGTTTAAAGCCAATAAGTTTGTGGCATGTGGCAAAGAGGCATTTAATTTGTTAACTCGATATCTGTGCAACATAATTGACTCAAGCTGCCGCACACACACACACACACGCACGCACACACACAAGAAACCTTAGCCTCAAATTCTTAAGCCAGACACACACACGCAGAGAGAGTAAGAGCCGTAGAGAGACTTTTCACACATAAATTATGCAGCCGTCCGGTTGGCAGCCCCGCCCCTCAAACTTTGACCGGCATTGCCCGGCACAGGAGCCGGACGGACAAACTCCAGTCTCCTGGCTCGGACTCGGATGCGATGTAAAACAAGATTATTTACAAATGCACAAGCCACAGAATCTTAAACAAAAAGGCAAAAGGCCAAACGACGACAACAACAACTGCAAGACAACAAGAAAAACAATTTTCACACAATTTTCGAGTGTAAAATTGCGGCAGACAAGCGGCAGCAGCAGCCCAAATGTTCGAGACGGGTGTGCCCGACTTGCAAATACCCTCAACACATACACATACCCTCGAGTTGCTGTTGCAAACATTTGAGCTTCTTTCCATGCACAGGGAAACACACGCACACACATGCAGGCCTCGCTACTTCTTCTTCTTCGCTTAGCCTCTTAGTATAGGGTATGTACTCTAGCTTAACTCGGGTATTTGAAGTTCGATCTTAATGAAATTTTCATGGCTTGAGTATGGCACAGAAAAGTGTGTGCATACCAAGGCGCAAGGCTCTAGCATTAGAAATGAGCTTTTTTCAGTTTTGAGGGGGAACGGGGATAGGCATATAAAAAAAGATTTATTTTTTATCTGTAAAAACTATTCAAGTAACTATATACCAAATTTGGCGTAACTAGCTTCTATAATTCTCGAGCTATGCCTAAATTCAAGTCTCAAAATGGATTTTTATCGATTTTTACTATCGGAAATGTGCAGAGATATCGATAACAACAATAATAAAATGCTGCGTGTGGTATAGGAGAATATATATATGCATACAAATAAGTAGAATGGGCAGTATAAATAAGAGACAGCTGGTCATGGCCAGAACTACCCAGCTCGTCCTCCCGATCAAGAATATATATACTTTTATATACATAAATGTAGTCAGAGATACTGTCAACTGCCTCTAACAGTTGCACAAAAAGAATATGCCCTCTCTTTGCACTGGGCTTAGGGTATAAAAAGCCAGCAGCAGCAAGAACCACAACAACAGTCATAAGTAGCATACACACACACACACACACACACACACACACACACACATAAGCAGGAGCAGGAGCCGCAGTCAGACAAGTCTGAGTTGCTAAAAGGTATTCCCCAAGAATGTCTACGGCAACTGCCGGAGCAGACAGCTTGCCTCCATCCACCAACACAGAGCTTGCCACACAATACACTTGCCACACACACACACACACACACATATATAATTGCAGGCATTCGCCCGGGCTGGAGACGTTATTGTGCTCGTTCGTGCCACAACGTTTGGGGCATCGTCTTGAAGCAGGAAACAACAGCAGCAGCAGCAGCAGCAGACGACCTTGACACACAATTGTGGCACTTACCACAAACAGACAGAGACGTAGCAGGAGAAGTAGAAGGAGCAGAAAAAGGAGGCGGGCATGGGGGGTTGGGGGGCGAGGGGCAGCTGCTAAGCAAATGCTCAGTCAAGTGGCGAGCTGCAAAGTGTGTCCCTTTGAAAAATTATGCTGTATGGGCAGCAGGCAGCAGGCAGCTGGCCACATGCCACATGCCACATGCCACAAGGCCATGCCAAAAGTCACAGGGTCCGACTGGCCAGGAGCTGCCACTTGCCACTGCCACAGCTGCTGCTGCTGCTGCTGCTGCTGCTTCTTCTTCTTCTTGTTGGTTAATTGGGCGTGTGTTGGCTTACAAATTGTTGTCTGAGCTCTGCGAAAAGGAGCAGGTCCTTGTGTTCCTTCCTCTCTCTCTCTCTCTGTGTGTGTGTGTGTGGCGCATTCAGATTTGTGCTGTGCGGCGTCTTGCCGCTTGCTGCATGTTTATTGCAGCATGCATTAAGGGGCGCCACAGCTGCATGCCACATGCTAAGCCCCTGCCTGTGCGAGTGTGTGCGAGTGTGCGAGTGTGTGTGTGGTGTTTATTGCTTGAAGATTTGTTAAGTGCTGCACACACGCCCCCAAAGGGCAACTGTGGCACGCGCCGCCAGCAGCTTG